CGTCCTCAATCACAACTCGCTCAAGGGACGAGGCCATGTAACCTTTTCACGATGATAATATATATTTTTTAATCCAAATAGCTTGCAGAAATACTTATGTGGCCGCCTCATCTATGTCAGCCATGCTGATCATGACCTGTCCCGGTGACCCTGATCGCGCCTGACCTGCCTTCCGTTTCCATTATACTCCTTCCATTTCCACTATACTCCTTCCGTTTCCACTATACTCCTTCCGTTTCCACTATACTCCTTCCGTTTCCACTATACTCCTTCCGTTTCCACTATACTCTCTCTCACACATACATACATTCTTCTCTTACATACACATATTTTCTTCAGAAATACATACATTCTATATATATATATGTATGTGTAAGGAGAATGTATGTGTGTGAGAGTAGAAATGTATGCATGTGTAAGGAGAATGTAAGTGTGTGAGAGTAGAAATGTATGCATGTGTAAGGAGAATGTATGTGTGTGTGAGAGTAGAAATGTATGCATGTGTAAGGAGAATGTAAGTGTGTGAAAGCAATAATATATGTATGTGTAAGGAGAATGTAAGTGTGTGAGAGTGCCAGAATGAATTATGGCTTGTACGGCCCCTCATAGAATCCCACTTTTCTCTCTGCTGCCCTCAGGCAAATGGTTACGCAGGATCCGATCACACACAAGCCAACTGAGGACAGCTTTTTCCCTCAGACTATCAGGCTGTTGAACACTCAGAACTGACACTTACACAGCACACCACTCTGTCCATACCATTCACTGTGCACTTTAACTCCACCACCACCACCACAATTTTTACCAACTGGACTTCAATGTAGCATGCACTGCACTTTAACACAATAATACTCTGCTAACATCTATTTACCTACCATTACATCTGCAACCACTCTATATACATTTGTGGATTATGTGTATTATGTTTGTATATTATTGTTTTATATAGTGTATATACTGTACATAAAAGTATACTGTTATTTGTAAAGTGTCTAAACGTGTATAATGTTATTTGTTAAATGTGTCAATTGTATTCTGCACTGTCTGGAGCATGCTCCCAAGCTTTTCACTCACCATGGCACACGTGCTGTTGGTGATGTGACAATAAAAGTGATTTGATTTTAGTAGTCACTCAGAGTCTCCAAGATACACTGTCTGGGTTAACATATGCTTGCTTGAATGTGAACAAGGTTTAATCAAAATGTCAATTCAGAGCAACTACAATCCCAAGAGTGTGTTTTAATTCACCGCTGCCTCGAGCCTGAACCCAGTCACAATGAGACCAAGTCTGTCTGTCTGTTTAATTTCGCCCCAGAGCCAAGAGAGGTGGACTGTGTTGGCTTTGGCACATGTTAGTCAGCATATGGTACTGCATGAGTTAGCCAAGCTGTGGATTCCCAACTGATCTAATTAATACTAGTTTTACATCCCTCACAAAAAGTTATAATAATAATAACAGTGCTAATGACTTCTCATTCAGGAAAAAATGGCCTTGGGTCAGTTTTCTGCAAACATTACCATTTGGCTAGCGAAGATGAGAGAATCTGAGCAATACCTTCTGAACTGTGAGACTGCCTGTCAGTAATCGCACCACTGGGTATATAGAGTGCTCAACCTTTAAATGTAAATATATATATTGCATTAGTTGAGTCATCGCAAGAGTAGGCACAGTTTTATGTTGTTATCGTTGGCCATTTTTGTGACCTCAGCAGAGATCTCTAGAATCAAACTGACATTCGTGTGACTCAATAAATAAGTTTACATGTGCTTTAAAAGTTTTATTTCTGTCAGGCAAAATAAATAATTAGTCATTTTAAAATGCCACATAAGCGCTTCAATGTAAATGAAATTATGCCAGTTGGATTTTGCAAAGTTGGGCTAATAGACCTAGATAATGCAAAGCTCATCTTCGTCTAGACTATATAAACATTAATCAGACTATGGGTGACCTTGGAGTGGTGTGCATGAAAAGAAGGAGGTATTTAATCCTCAAATATTTGAATACACATTGTCATGTATACTTACACGGATTGACTTCGCAAAAACCTGCTGTAAAGGTGCAAACTTTTGTGGACAAAAAGGTCTATTTTCAGTAGTGTAGTGATGTGTGAAGCACAGCTTACACAGAAGCCACTTTCAAACCAAGAAGCTTTCCATTGGTCAGTATTACGAATTTGACCAATTCGTTACAAAATCTGCATGGCGAAATCTTTCACCCTTATATACAATTCCTGATCGCATGGATTCACAGCAAAAATTTGGTGAACAACGGTAAATGTTACCACATTTTAACTGTGCATGCAAATGTACATGATGACTAGCAAGAACATTATAAGCTTTTAAGTAATGTTCACCAGGCCTACCTGATTTGCTAAAAGGCAGGTAGGTGTTTTAGTTGGAGTGGGATTAACGCTTGCAATACGTTTTCAATCAGTTGGCAGAGGCTTTTAGTTTTACTCTTCTTTGCACCTAGCTGCACATAACTAGCTATGGTGTGTCTTTTCATCCATTCAAACTGGCCTTTGCAAAAAGAATAGGTTAGAAAAACTGGAGCATTTTAGCTCTGCAACTCAGGTATGTGCCAGTTTCTGTTTTTTTTTTCACCTTCTCAGGGCCAAAAACACCTGGCAAGAGAGGGATTGAGAGCATTTTCTCACTATACTCTGAACAACTGTCCGTCGGAAGGATTAAAAAGGCAGGATTTGTAGGATTTTTTTTCCCCTGGCACCAAAATCTCCAAGAGGCCCCCACAGGCTAAATGTAAGCAACATTCCCAGACTTTCCAGAAGCGTCTGGAATCACCTAGCACCCATGTGCCCTTACCACTTAAACTGTCACAGATCAGGAGCTTCACTATTAATACACACCTATGAAAGGTCCTTAGTAGAGTACATTCCTTCTCTCACTCTTTAATACATATTTTGAGGAACCCAAGAACTTTACTGCCTCATATCATTTTGATACTTCTGGAGGACTGTTAATCTATTTTCTAAATTCAGCTGTTGATAATTCTTCAAAATTCTCACACTGTAAAATATTTGACCGTAAATTATAACACATATGCCGTCCTGATACAATGATAAATATTACTGTGAATTTATTTTCATCTCCCATGATTTTACAGGAGTTTAAGCGCCAGCATTCAGTCATGCACAATCTCTCTTCTGTGGCCTCTAGGCGTCTATGAACTGACAGTCTCTCTTTTTGAAATATGTTTTAAATAATTCCACAATATATTCAGAAAGGGTGGATTATTTTCTTCCCGTGACTCGGGTCCAAGCTCAACACACCTATGAAATCACGGCAAGGGAAAACGGTAACATCTAAAGCAAGATGCAGAAAAGTGAGGGCAAACTTGGTAAACAAGACACAACTCTTGTAAATACAGCTGAAATGGAAGAAGGAGAGCAAAAGAAAATGGGAGATGGAGGAAAAGGCCTGGCAAACTGCAAAATGGCCATATTTGCGCAAAAGTGACTTTTCAGATTATGCCTGTCGCATGACTTTATTTCCTTAAGCGCAGTGTTGTTGCCTGGACTCAAGTCAAGCATTTGATGTCCTCAACCACATACGCCCTAGACTTCAACAGTGCTCTTTTTAAAGCCAAATGTTAAGGGGAAAAAGAGCTAAGCTAGTTTTGTCAGCCAACAAGTACCTGCAATTCAAAAACTATAAAAGAAAACAACCTTGGCTAAGACAAGAATGGACAGAAACATTGGGTTAAGATGTATATACTTTCTCACTCACCACCCATCAAGTGGTGGTTAATGGTTACTTGGTCTTTGCCTTTGAAGTATGAGATTTCCATTTTTCTTTATGCTCATAATTTCTTGTCCATGCATTTCAGAGAAAATGTGTTAAACTACTAGTTTTACTTGTGGTCTACATTACTACGTTTGTAACTTGTTAGAAAAACGTATTTGAAGAAAACTGACTTTCATTTCATGGACAGCTTCACTTTAGCAAAACGGGCGTAGATGTTAAATTGAAGGCAAATATTGATAGCAGGTGGATCTCACAAGGTTTGGTTCTCACATGGGTCTACACAAATTTTGGTTGGTTAGCTTGTTAGCCCTTGCTGGTAAATGCTGAAACTACACCATTATGTGTGCAAAGCAAATCTCCATTCATGGGAGATTCAAACAAGATATAAATTGTAAATGTTAATGTAGATGATTTGCCCCTAACCAAATTTTTTGAGAGACTTGTAAAACCATGAAATTGACTTTAATATAATTTTTTTTCTTGTCTGCTCCCTTCAACATCAAGCTCATGCAACAGCAGAATAGTTGCTAGTGAAGGGATTGGGACTGTGTCCGTTTTTGTAGTGCCATCAGCCAGTAAGCACTGTCAGGACCTGCCAGTGCTGCCAGGCACTACTACAACCCTACATTTGCACTCACCACCAACAGTGAAATTATAGTCAAATAAGCTTGTCTAGTTTGCATTATGCAGCTGTTAACTGTGAATGATGAAAACCTTATTTTTTGGGAGCTGATTGACATCAATCTACTTTGAATCCTGAAACCTCAATCTGCTGTGTTCTGTTCAGCACCTGGACAAAAACAAGTTTCAGGAATAGGAGCCAAAGCAAGGCTAGTTTGTGGCTGATTACGCTCTGAAATCATTTGCACAATTATGCAAGCTATTTCCTCCAGGTCAGGGTCCTTAATTTTATCCTGCCTCAAGCAGTACTATCTAAAATTATTTTGCTAACAAATAAAACTTGAGCATTCTTCCAAACATTCTAATAGCCCATTTACAACGCTATAGAGGAATAGTGAGTATAGTTTGATTTAAACTCAAAAGTACCAGAAATTTGTACTGCTCAATGCAAATGCACTTGCACAAATGCAATAATATTCCCTATACATTCTTTTACCTCTCAATCTCTCTTTCAGTCCTTTGCATCGAAGCCTCTTCTCTCAGCTGTTCCAGTCTTCAGTTCACTGGGACTGATACAATATTTTCCTACCTCAATTAGCCAAGGGCCCGTTGACTAATTCTAACTGTTTTTGCACCTGAGAGTTTGGGAGCGGGAGTTGGAAAAAGTGAGAGGGAGAGTCAGTGTGGGGCTGTTTGGGCAACGCAGCAGTGTTGATGGACGCTGAGGGCTATGCAGAGGACAAGGTGGATAGCAGCAAAGCAAAATCAATGCAAAAAACATTTCTGATTCTGATATTTTGAGGAACCCAAGAACTTTACTGCCTCATATCATTTTGATACTTCTGGAGGACTGTTAATCTATTTTCTAAATTCAGCTGTTGATAATTCTTCAAAATTCTCACACTGTAAAATATTTGACCGTAAATTATAACACATATGCCGTCCTGATACAATGATAAATATTACTGTGAATTTATTTTCATCTCCCATGATTTTACAGGAGTTTAAGCGCCAGCATTCAGTCATGCACAATCTCTCTTCTGTGGCCTCTAGGCGTCTATGAACTGACAGTCTCTCTTTTTGAAATATGTTTTTAAATAATTCCACAATATATTCAGAAAGGGTGGATTATTTTCTTCCCGTGACTCGGGTCCAAGCTCAACACACCTATGAAATCACGGCAAGGGAAAACGGTAACATCTAAAGCAAGATGCAGAAAAGTGAGGGCAAACTTGGTAAACAAGACACAACTCTTGTAAATACAGCTGAAATGGAAGAAGGAGAGCAAAAGAAAATGGGAGATGGAGGAAAAGGCCTGGCAAACTGCAAAATGGCCATATTTGCGCAAAAGTGACTTTTCAGATTATGCCTGTCGCATGACTTTATTTCCTTAAGCGCAGTGTTGTTGCCTGGACTCAAGTCAAGCATTTGATGTCCTCAACCACATACGCCCTAGACTTCAACAGTGCTCTTTTTAAAGCCAAATGTTAAGGGGAAAAAGAGCTAAGCTAGTTTTGTCAGCCAACAAGTACCTGCAATTCAAAAACTATAAAAGAAAACAACCTTGGCTAAGACAAGAATGGACAGAAACATTGGGTTAAGATGTATATACTTTCTCACTCACCACCCATCAAGTGGTGGTTAAAGGTTACTTGGTCTTTGCCTTTGAAGTATGAGATTTCCATTTTTCTTTATGCTCATAATTTCTTGTCCATGCATTTCAGAGAAAATGTGTTAAACTACTAGTTTTACTTGTGGTCTACATTACTACGTTTGTAACTTGTTAGAAAAACGTATTTGAAGAAAACTGACTTTCATTTCATGGACAGCTTCACTTTAGCAAAACGGGCGTAGATGTTAAATTGAAGGCAAATATTGATAGCAGGTGGATCTCACAAGGTTTGGTTCTCACATGGGTCTACACAAATTTTGGTTGGTTAGCTTGTTAGCCCTTGCTGGTAAATGCTGAAACTACACCATTATGTGTGCAAAGCAAATCTCCATTCATGGGAGATTCAAACAAGATATAAATTGTAAATGTTAATGTAGATGATTTGCCCCTAACCAAATTTTTTGAGAGACTTGTAAAACCATGAAATTGACTTTAATATAATTTTTTTTCTTGTCTGCTCCCTTCAACATCAAGCTCATGCAACAGCAGAATAGTTGCTAGTGAAGGGATTGGGACTGTGTCCGTTTTTGTAGTGCCATCAGCCAGTAAGCACTGTCAGGACCTGCCAGTGCTGCCAGGCACTACTACAACCCTACATTTGCACTCACCACCAACAGTGAAATTATAGTCAAATAAGCTTGTCTAGTTTGCATTATGCAGCTGTTAACTGTGAATGATGAAAACCTTATTTTTTGGGAGCTGATTGACATCAATCTACTTTGAATCCTGAAACCTCAATCTGCTGTGTTCTGTTCAGCACCTGGACAAAAACAAGTTTCAGGAATAGGAGCCAAAGCAAGGCTAGTTTGTGGCTGATTACGCTCTGAAATCATTTGCACAATTATGCAAGCTATTTCCTCCAGGTCAGGGTCCTTAATTTTATCCTGCCTCAAGCAGTACTATCTAAAATTATTTTGCTAACAAATAAAACTTGAGCATTCTTCCAAACATTCTAATAGCCCATTTACAACGCTATAGAGGAATAGTGAGTATAGTTTGATTTAAACTCAAAAGTACCAGAAATTTGTACTGCTCAATGCAAATGCACTTGCACAAATGCAATAATATTCCCTATACATCTTTTACCTCTCAATCTCTCTTTCAGTCCTTTGCATCGAAGCCTCTTCTCTCAGCTGTTCCAGTCTTCAGTTCACTGGGACTGATACAATATTTTCCTACCTCAATTAGCCAAGGGCCCGTTGACTAATTCTAACTGTTTTTGCACCTGAGAGTTTGGGAGCAGGAGTTGGAAAAAGTGAGAGGGAGAGTCAGTGTGGGGCTGTTTGGGCAACGCAGCAGTGTTGATGGACGCTGAGGGCTATGCAGAGGACAAGGTGGATAGCAGCAAAGCAAAATCAATGCAAAAAACATTTCTGATTCTGAACTTGCTGAATTATGAAAACTGTATTTCAAAGCCCTTTTTGTGAAAATCTAAAATGTCCTCTACTAAAGGGAACCCTGGAAGGAAAGAGAAGGCAAGGAAAGGTAATACTGAGAAATTCTGCAAGGCTAGTAAATGCAGGATACCTTTCTGTAAAGGGGACCCTCTTTGCTAAAAAGGACCTTAATTCAGGGAAAGGAAATTAGAGAATGGTAAGTAAATGTGCAAGCAAATTGCTTCTGAGGGCTGTACAGTTTCATCCAGCTGTACCAAGTACAAGCATCTAAGCTGATCTGAGAGAGCCGTGGAGAGCAGAAACTTGTAAACAAATGTAATGCAACAGTTAAGATCTGCACAGTGGCAGACCAGTTCAAGCAACCTGCCTGGAAAAAAGTCTGACTCACTCTCTTTTGCAACAACACACACTTACACAACAGCCAGGGTCAACCCACTGTGATCTCCATGACCCAGACCAGTTAAATCATAAATTCAAACAAATGGAAAGCCCTGCTGAACCCTGACACAAGATGACATAGAGTAAAACTCCAGCTGGAAAAGTGGGATCAAACTGGGAGGCAGGGGAAAAGTGATTTGTAAGAAACATCTTGTTGATTTATCACTGCAGGGTTTCTAAAGACCAAATGCACCTGCTATTTCAAAATGAAATGCTAATCAAACATCCACAATTTTCAGTAAAATATTAAAGTGTCAAAGTATATACAAAACATTCAAAGAAAAAATTTGAAAAAGTTATACATTTAGGAGTACAACAGTTCTCCACTGAGGCACTACACTTAAAGGGAAATCTTTGTACCTTATTTATTCCTTAAGAGTTAAAAGTCGAACCTTAAAGGTACATTAATACTTTGATCTACTAATTTACACCTTTTAGAAGTAAAAAGTCATCATCCCTTTAATAGTACCGAACCAGTGACAAGCTGTTGTACCCCTAAAGGTATAACTTTTCTGACAGTGTACAGAGCATTTTAAGATTCTACAACAAAACATTTATGTTGAATACATGTTGAATTTGCATGATAATTTGACACTGTACCTAACTGCTGATTAAATTTAGTTGTGCTTACATTTTCTGATTAAAACTGAAGGATTTGCTATTTCGTTTTAAGCTAAATTCCCCTGCTTATTTCAATAAAGAAGTAAGTTTCTACCTCCGAGTAAAAAATAAAATAGGCCATAGACAAAGTGGGACATAAAGACACAATAACAAGAAGTCACAAGTAACAAGAACTAGTCACATTGTGAGATATATAAGTTGCAATTATAAGATATGACATTGCAATTAGGAGATATAAAGCTGCAATTATGGGAGATAAAGTAACAATTACTTTTTATATATTTTTTTTGTCTCTAGGGTGGTGACAGACTTCCATATTTCAGATCGTAGTATTTTGCGAGCCAGTATAACAGTGAAGGGCCTTCATTTTGCAATTACGTGTTTTGCGTATTACAAATCCTACCCAGCAACACCTTTGTACATACTCATAAAAGTCTGACCCTACGAGCAGAAGAATAAAAGAGCCATAAACCACAAGTGATAAGAGAGTCGATGGAAGATCATAAAAACCAAATGAGCCCCACTCCCTTTCTGCAGGGACACATGCATGGAGACAAACACTGGGCGTCTACTCACTGTCAGGGTAATTCTTCCGACGGGTGCCATCCACCTTGCCTGTCTTGTCGATGCAGAGAAAGAACTTGTTGGCAGAATAGAGGCGCCGAAGGCGGACGTCACCCTCGAGGTGGTTGTAGCTGCGCGTGTGCCGCTCCAGTGTCCACGAGCAGTTTGTGCCCTGTGTCAGTGCATGAAGGGGGTCATGCCCCAGTGCAGGTGGGCAACCTCCAAGAGAAGAGCAAGCCAGAAAGAGCAGGGATAGGCATAACAAGGGAAAAGGATAAGAAGGGAGGGCTGAGCCGGCAAAGGTGAGGTCAGAGTGGAGACCAGCGGTAGTAGGTGTCCATTTGCACATGATGGGTCAGACTCCCAAGGTGCACCTTGCACAAGTAGTCGGCATGATGCTGGCCTTCGCTGGGCACTCTGCCTCACACAGAACCCGTAAGCAGGAGCATGGGAAGAGAGGGTAAAAAAATCCTGAGTGACCAATTTCAAACTCAAGTGTATCACTTTAGTCTCTTAACCAGCTGTCTGTTGGTCTTGCTCTTCAGAATGATGAATGAGAACTTTGAAATTCCATCCCAAAGAAATGTCTCAATCTTGTTAGATTGTCCTGGAGTATCCAGGTCCCTCAGTCCAAGCTGGTAGAGTTGTGGGATCCTGTGTCCTGTGTGATGGCTGCACCTTGCAGGGCTCTCTCCTCTCAGCCAGGGGCAGAACAAGGTGAAATGTGAGGCTGTCTGACCCGTGCCTGTCAATGAGCTAGTTGAATGGGTGTATTTCAATGAGTGCCTGTGTGTCTGTGTAAGAGAAAGATTCAAAAAGACTACCAAGAGAAAGAGAGGGAGAGGATAAGATAGAGGGGGCAGTGAGAGTAAGTCTGACGGACTCAACAAGGCAGTAAAGCTGTAAATGGGTGTCTTTCTCTCTCTCACTCTCTGTGCCTTGCTGTCTGCCTGCTCTTTGGTGGGGTGGCTCAGTCCTTTCCTGCATTTTATTCAGGGCAGGGCTTGCATCTGGGGGACTGAGAGGAGATGGGTGGGGCCTGGATTATTCATAATCACTTTAAGTGAATGTCACTCTCAATATTGTTTACCTTTTATCGTACTGTCATTCATTTCCCTTCACAAAACTGATCATCCTCAGATGTGCCATATCACTTTACATCCCGCCCTGAACCAAAATAAACTGTTGCCATCACAAGTGATTTACAGCATCTGTGGAGGTTAATCATCAGGTAAATAATAGGTAACAAATACACTCAATTTAGTATGTACAGAAGTAAAGTTAAGGTCTTTATAACCACTTTAAAAATTGATAAATTTGAGCAGCGAAGATTAGGTCTCTCTTAATGGCACTTGTATGTGGACCAGACCTTCCCAATGGACATTTGAGTCAGCTTATGACCTGGTGAATATGATGCTGCAATTTTATTCATGAACAGCTGGGAGCCTAAAAAGTGCTAATTTTCTGATAGGACACCAAGTAAAATATTTACAACTACCTTGTTTATCTGTCTTCAAGATGTTGTGAGCTTTACTCAGATGAGTGGCATGCGGTGGCACATTTGTCTAAGCGAACCTCTGCTCTGAAACACTAACATACTTTTCATATGCTCCTGGTTTCAATGAAGTGTGCAGCCCAGGGGCAGAGGGTGAAAATATTCTTGAAGGTGTGTTTTACCAGGAAGAGTCAGTCACTTCTCACTTTGTAAACTAATAGGTCTCTGAAGCTTTAGCACTCATACTTAGCCTATAAAAGCCTATGGAGACAGCAGTCTGCAGTCTTTTTCAGCTCCCCGCAGTCATTCCCTTCTCCTTGGGAATTTCGGCCTTTAAGTTTCTTGCTACTGTACTTCAAAGCCTATTCTTTTTTTTCTAGTCTCATACATCTTAGTCCTTCATCCCCAATTAAACCTAACTGAAGTGGACCCCTACCTTTAATTTCTCTCCTCCCTGCCAACATTTATGCACCTCAAAAAAAGGGATGGCACAGAAAAGTACCCATCATTGTCATGCTGTGTGCTTCTACAGCTGGTTACGGTCTGAGAAAAAGCTGTAAAAGTGGATGCAGATTTAATTAGTGAAGCTTTCTAAGGCAGAATAACTATTACTTGCTCATACTTAATATTAGGGTTTTGAACAAACCCTTAACTGTAAGTATTAAACTTTGAGTTCATCCTGCTCTGTTAATTCTACAGACATGTGTAATACCTCCGATCATAGTTAATTCAGGAGAGGCATTACTTTTCTAAACAATGAGTTAGGTGATTTATGATTGCTGGATTACCTGAGCTGTATCTAAGGACCAGAAAATTCACAGATAGAAACTTGGAGATGGGCTATTTTGACTTTGACCACAGAGAAATTAACAAAATCACTGCAGCAACCACATAGCAATGCTCTTAAAACTGCTCAGAACATCTTAGGAACCAGATAGCAATGCCCTGAACAACTCCCAAAAACCTAGAAGTTGGCAGGTTTTGCTGCCAGCACCAGCGCCATTTTTTCAGATAATTTCAAAACTTCGAAAGTCTCAAAAAGAATGTCCAAATAATATTGATTTTCGAATTCAGCACATCTAGGTCATAACAGAAATTTGGAGTTCAGAAACAGGAAAGTCACCAGATAGCATATTTCAAGTGAACACTGACAATACTGTATAGACAAACAAATGGACTGTTACTTTTTAAAGAAAAAAAGATTGCGGACTTTCATCATTAGCGATAATCAAAGAGAGATGTGTCTCAGATGTGGGAGATATTTGCTACTAATTATAGAAACTCAAACAAATCTGCCTTCAAGTGCTATGAGGATATTATTATAATTTTTTTTTATATTTTAAGCATAGTCTCTGAATTATTAGTACTGACAGGTGTGGAGAGATTTTCCTAAATGTGTTGCATGAGGGTATGCTAACCCTCTCAATGTGGTTGTAAAATACACCTAGCATTGGTATGTTTAGAAGACTAAAATCAGAGCGAGAATTTTTCTCTTTCCAGAATTTTTTACTGTCCTTTTTCCAAAACCTCAACTCATACTTGCATGAAGCATTGACTAATCAAGTGCACATTTTAAAAGCAGCTCCTACTCCTAAAAACAAAGAAACACACCCTTCATATAGGTGTGCAAAGAAGTCTGAATATCAGAGTCCCAGTGAATGGAGCCTTGTCCTGAAGTTATTTTCAGGGTCTTGTATGGCTCTCTTCTCTCCTTTTGTTGAGAGCCAGTCACCCAGTAATGACTGTCACACCAGAGCTTGAAACATCAAATGGTCCTGTCAGAAAGGTGACCCTGTGAACCGTATCGACAAAAAACGTCTGATCTCCACCTACTAGATACGCACAACTTGCTTTGATGACTGCCATCGAACTGTCGATGTAAATGTTTTACTGACTTATTTCAGAATTTAAAAAGATTTCAGAGAGCCTGGTTACATGATGGTAAATAGCCCAATTGGGGTCAATAAGATTTTTAATGCAGTTATTTCATTAAAAATACAGTAAACACTAATTTATTCCTGTGATGGCGAAGCTGAATTTTCAGCAACCATCTCCGTGTCACATGATCAATGCAGAAATCATTCTAATAAGCACTGAATCAGGGTGCACCGCTCAAGAAACATTGTTATTATCAATATTGACAGTAGTGGTAATATTTTTTGTGGAAGGATTCTTTGATGAATAGATAGTTGAGAAGAACAGTGTTTATTTGAAATATAATTTTTTATAACAATATAAGTCTTTACTGTTACCTTTGATCAATTTAATGCATCCTTGCTGAATGAAAGATCTTAGTGATCCCAACTTTATTTGTTACTCTCATCATCTGTTTCCATTTTTCATTTAACATTATGATACAAAGATCTAAATAGTGAGAAGTTCAGTCAGCCAAACATCTAAAAAAAAAGTAATGACAGCTTTACTGTTCAAATGACAACACGCATCCACAGATGTATTTAATGTATTTACAGTTGTGCTCAGAATTATTCATACCTTTGGTAAATATGATCAAAGAAGGCTGTGAAAATTAATCTGTATCATCAATCCTTTAGATATTTTATTTTAAAAATTTACTAAAATCGAACCTTTCATTGGAGAATAAGAATTTAAAATGGGAGAGAAATCTTATTATGAAATAAATGTTTTTCTCTAATACACATTGGTCACAATTAATCATACCCTTTTATCCAATACTTTTTGCAACCTCCTTTTGCCAAGAGAACAGCTCTGAGTTTTCACCTATAATGCCTGAAGAGTTTAGAGAACATCTGACAGGAGATCAGAGACCATTCCTTCATACAGAATCTCTCCAGACTCTTCAGATTTCCAGCTGCATTTTGATGCTTCTCCTCTTCAGTTCACCACACACATTTTCTATAGGGTTCAGCTCAGGGAACTGGGTTGACCAGGGCAGAAGCTTGGTTTTGTTCTCAGTGACCCATTTTTGTTTTGATTTTGATGTTTGTTTGTGGATCATTGTCCTGTTGGAAGATCCAACCATGGCCCATTATAAGATTTCTAGCATGGACAGTCAGTTTTTAATTTTTTATCCATTGTTATTTTATAGAATCCATTATGCCATCTATCTGAACAAGATAGATGACCTTTCTGACCCAAAGACGCAACTATTTTCTGCAGTTCTCCAGCTGTGATCCTTGGGAGTCTTTTGTCCACTCAAACTCTCCTCCTCACCATGTATTAGAACGATATAGACACACGTCCTCTTACTGTATTAGAGAAACATATTTATTTCATAATGTGATTTTCCCCCACTTTCACTTTTTTTTTTTTACTTTAATTAAAGGTTAAATTTTTTTTTTTTTTTCTTTAATTAAAGGTTAGATTTTTTTTTTTTTTTTTTTTGAATGACGTGGATAAACAATGCAGATTTATTTTGACAGCATTCTTTGATCATATTTACCAAGGGTATGGGTAATTTTGAGCACAACTGTAAATATTAATAGGCCTACAAAATATTACCTAGGCCTAAATCACTCAAACACACAGAAAATAGCGTATTTACCTACAAATATCAAGTTTCATGCATCACAGAACAAAGAAAGATGGCACATAAAGTCGAAAAGTTAAAAAATGAAGGACACGTTTGTGTACCCTACCCTTTCTTGGCAAAGTTCGCCATCTACTGTACAGTTTCTAACCAATACAGGCATTTTTAAAACACACATCATTTCGTTCAAATAAATCGTTTAATATCTTAAAACTTAAATGAAATTGGTCTCGACATTTTTTTATATTTTAAATATTTTATATACAAACAAAAGCTGTCAAACTGAGCCTTCACCAATAGAAAAATGCTACTTTAGTACATCTTTTTATTATACTAAACATAAGTATATTTAGTAAAATAAAGAGATTTAACAAGTGAATTTAGGTTGAAAACAACTTTGATACCTTAACAAGGTTTTTGTAGCTGATTACATATTAAAAAGTCGACTTGTCCCCTATTTTCCTCTTGCGTTAAGAACATTTCCTAAAGCTTAACTTATATGAAATAAGTGATTACATGTCAATGAAATACAGTTTACATGAGATGTACAGTACTAGCAGGTGTTTCATCCTACCTCAAGATGAAATTTGGTCATCTGCTCGTTGCTCTTTGATGTCTAAACTCCTCGTATCGCCTATGAACTAGTCAGGTCTGAACAAAATGGCGGCCTTCTGCACCGGAGAACGCGGTGTTTCAAAACTATCATAACAACATGTCACTTTTGAGACTGGGCGCCTATTCAGCTGCTTTAACTCGCAGTTTTGCGGTTGACAGAAGTGTCCAGAGATTTATGAATGGCGATTATTGCCACCTGTGTCTCAGAATACGTAGTAATGGAGAGAGACAAATACAAGGTAACGTAATGAAACAGTGTTATTGTCATGCTGCCGTCTGTCTTGTCCTTCAAATCACATTAAGCATGCTATGTCTCATTTTGTATTCCAGCACCAAATACAAACAGTAGAGTTGGTAAGCTTTTTAGGTAACCGTTTTATCTGTCATTTTTCAGACAAAACATGGGCTACAATTTACCAAAGACACTATTCAGCCATCCCTAAGAAGGAAGATGGGAAGAAAAGATTCTGTGAACAGTCTCAGTTGTTGGACGGTATGATATATTTTCACTTATGATTATGTATCTAATGTTAATACATTAGTGTTAGTACATTGATGTTATAAGAGAACAACTGAATTTTTCTTTTTTTTTTCAAAGAGCAAATTGGCTGTATGATTTTTGGTTGGGTAATATCTATTTAATTTTCATTTCAAGCTAAGCCGGTTTTATTTATGCAGCGCTTTTCACAGTACAGACCCTTTCAAAGCATTCCAGCAATTAAGAATTGCTATATAGTGTATATATTATCTGAGTTTATGTATGCAAATAAAGTTGTATACTTACTTGCTTGAAAAACCCTTTTCATCTTTGATGCTTATATTGCTTTATGTGAGTGTACTGTATGTATGTGGGTGACGCTGAATGTACTTTAAAAATATTACTGGGTGATGATGAAGTTTACAATATGTGTTGATATAAACAATCAAGCAGGTGAGAAAAATAAAAAAAATTAAACTTGAAATTATTTAATTTAATATACATTAATAGAAGTTCATTGTTAAGTAAAATAAAGGTGCATAATACTGTCATGTGCACTACAGTTTTCTCTTAAAAAATTTTTCACAGTTCTGGAGGCCAGAATCCAACAGCTGCAATCTGACGCCGTTGTAGACGTCAAACATTCAAAGGTGCAAATCATCAAAATGCAGCAGAAAATACAGAAAACATCACCTGGGAATAGTCAAAAGAACTTGCCAGGAGAAAAAGCAGAAATGCTTAAAAGTGGGCCCTCTGCAAAAAAAGGTGGAACGGAAGGCGTCGGGCCTTCCAAAACTCACGCAAGTCGCTGGATGGAGAAACTCAAGCGTGAAAAGTGGATTAATCCCAAAAAACAAACTTCACATAGAATGCACGACAAGACAGTTGTGGGTAAAAACAGCAAAGGGAGTTCAATGCGTCCTGGTACATCTACAAAGACCATCACAACAGGCAAAAGAAGTGAGACAAAAACTAAAGGAGAAGACTCCAAAACCTCTGCGTCTACCACGACATCCTCCAAAATCAGTGCTGTGCAAAAAAAGTCTAAAAAGAAGGTTTCGAGAGTCTCAGAAAGTTTAGCCGTCAGGTTTCCAGGAGTGCAAAAGATCTCCAACAGTAAAGGTGGCTGTGTTTCTGAAATGTCTGCACAAGAGAAACTGGCAGATAAAGAATTTGATGAGATAGAGGAGCTTGATGTAGACATCGAAATCGACCAGCAGAGCTCGAGTGCTCCTGAAAGGCTTCTGGAGGATAAGGAAGGAAACCGCTATGGAGATCCTCAGCTCAGAATCCGCTGTTACTTGGAGGCGTGTGTTTTCATCGATGATGTAGCTAGAGCTCAGAGCTGCCTACTTTCTCATCATCGTCAATTATCCAAACGAATGCACTTGTCTATCAGCGCCTACAACATCGTGATGAGGATGTGGGCCAAAAGAGTATGTATTAAGCATCTCTCTTTTTACATTATATTACAATTTTTTAATCAAGAATATAGTAAACAAATTACAAAACGAAATAAATGAAAATATAGTAAACAAATGCAACTGTCAGTGCATACAACATCTTGATGATGATCCATTTGTATCTCTTTTTACAAATTTTTGATCAAAAATATAATAAAAAATTAATACTGCAGAAATATTTCAAATTTAAATTGCAGTTTTTTTTTTTATAGATTATAAAATGTCATTTATTCCTGTAGCGGCAATGCAAAATTTTCAGCAGACATTACTTCAGTCTTCAGTGTCACATGATCCCTCAGAATTCATTCTGATGTTTGGAGACATTTCTTCTTATTTACAGTCTTAAAAACAGTTGTGCTGCTTAATGTTTTCATGAAAATTGTGACACATTTTTTTCGGAATTATGTGATGACTATACATTTCAAAAGAACAGCATTTATAATTACGAAAGTATAATAAATTTTTTTTTTTTTTAATCATCCCAAACTTTTGAATGCTAGGTATGTCAGAATCCAGTATCTCTTAAACATTGTATTCAAATATTTAACAAATATTTTTTTTTTTTAGTTTTGCCTGTTATTTTTCTTTAGTCTTAAATTTAATATTTTTCCTTTTATTGAATTATTATTTTTTTCAAATAATTGCTCATTATTTTTTTAGTGTATTGATTGTTCTATTACCCTTTTAGTCTTACATTATTTTTCAGGATGTTTCAGTATTTTGCTTGTTCCTTTCCCTTCAGCTGTACATGTTTTAGAATTTTCCATTTCAAAATTATTCTATCATTTATTTTAGCATTTTGCTTGCTTGTTCCGAATACTTTTTAAGTAGTGTTCTGTTATACTCTATTTAAAGCCATTTTTAACTGTGCTTTGCAGGGTTCCTTCAATCACATTCGTCGCTTGTTCGTTCTGATTGAAGAAGCAGGTCTGAAACCCAACGTTGTGTCTTACAGTGCTGCTCTGGAGTGCATAGGCCGCATGCCTGAGTGTCAGACATGGATCATTAAAAGGTAAAAACTTACTTCATTTATGTACTTCAGTGTATTCCAATCACATAGGTGAATCCAATAGATGGTGCATCACTAGTTTGGCAGGAGGAGGTTTCTTAAAGCTTTTTACCACGTCACATGAATGCTATCGGTATCATTAATCTCAGAAATACATTATATGGTCATTTTTTGCTCCAAGATCAAAAGAAAAAAAAAATATATATATAATTTTGGGTTGAAATATGACCCGGAAGAGCTTTTGGAACAGTTAGAAATGTACAATGGTGACAATCATTCTGTTTTAAAATATTCAATAGCAATATGACTGTCACATTGTTTAATGGATTGACAGTTCCAGACTGTGTCTCTGGGTGTCAGTGTTGCAGTGTGCAGGAATTCATGCGTATCAAAGACTCCTGCATTCTCTTTAGATTCCCTATAAGAATCCAAATTAAATTGATAAACATGCAAATTCGTAATGCTTTTATATATGTATATATATATATATATATACATACATATGCTCTTTTTATGAATGCATCCTCCATGAGCCGATCCATTCATCCATAGCACTATAGGATTATTCTGAGCCTGCCTTGACTGTGTCCAAAAATAGAAATTCAAATTGTGGTCATTCATCTAAAGAGCATTAACTCAGTGGACCGCCATTTTCTCTCTGGTCATCTATTTGTTTTGTGTGCTGCTCATCTCCGGGTGGAAGAATTTAGCAGATGAACACCTCCTCACTTGCATTTATACGAGGAGATCCTTCACAGAATGAGGCCAGATCAAAAAAAACTGTTATTTTGGTGTGTGTTTTTTGTTTCTTGCCTCACTTTTACATTGTCACATATATTAAATTGTCATTAGGGCTGTCACTTTTTAATTTAGTATAATTATTTATTAAAATATTTAATTAAACATTTCTGTGTTTTAATATGTATTCGAATATATAACAAATATCTTTGAATTTAATTGTCTTTATTTCTCGGCAAGCATTTATAATCCAAATGCATTTGTGATTTATTTTTTATGAATTAGTCAGTAATTAATACGATTTGAAATTCATTCTACTATGGAACACAAAAGTAGATATTTTGAAACCTGTCTCAGTGTTTCAAAATGCTCAAAATATCTCAAATGTTGTTTTGGACCCCATTGACTTTCCTTGTATATAGACAAAAACTGTTGCAAATTTTTTTTTCTCAATCTTTTTGAAATAAATGTATACTTTTATTGAGCAAAGATGCATTCAATGGATCAAAAGTGAATGTTCCTAAGATTTCTATTTCAAATTTCATCAAATTAATACGATTTGAAATTCATTCTACTATGGAACACAAAAGTAGATATTTTGAAACCTGTCTCAGTGTTTCAAAATGCTCAAAATATCTCAAATGTTGTTTTGGACCCCATTGACTTTCCTTGTATATAGACAAAAACTGTTGCGAATGTTTTTCTCAATCTTTTTGAAATAAATGTATACTTTTATTGAGCAAAGATGCGTTCAATGGATCAAAAGTGAATGTTCCTAAGATTTCTATTTCAAATTTCATCAAAGAATCCTCAAAAACATGTATCACATTTTCCACCGAAATATCAAGCAGCACAACAGTTTTCAACATTATCATTATTACTAATAACTGTTTCTTGCACATAAGTTAACTTATCAGAATAAGTTCTGAAGGATCACGTGAATAACTGCTAAAAATTCAGCTTTTCCATCACAGGAATAAATTACATTTTAAAATACGTCAAATAGAAAACAGCTATGCTAAATTGTAAAATTATTTCACAATATTTCTATTTTTACTGTATTTTTGATTAAGTAAATGCAGACTTGGGAAGTTTAAGAGACTTCTTTTAAAAACATAAATCACCCATGGTTGCAAAAAGTTTTTGAGCGTTAGTGTATGTTTTAATTTGGACGCAACTGCTAAACATCTTAAAATGATTCACGTTGGTTTTAAATCCACCAGACAGTTGTGCCCTTTGTGCTCCATCTTTAGCAGTTTGTTTGTTACCACACTGTAACCGTTTTAAGTGATCTAATTGATTGTATTAGGCTTTTGTGCGTCTGTAAAGCCTAATGCAAAGTATCTGCATTTGATTAGTGCTAAAGGTGACTGCTGAGGCAAATATGGTGCCGCCCAATGACAGCACAGAGGGGCAGGTGCAGGGTGTCTTGTGGCAGCTGGTTGGGCGATCGATCACTGTAAGCTGATGGCAAACACACACTGTTGTGCAGTGGAAGTCTTCTTTCTACAAGCCCCAGAGGAGCCTATTTTTTACCCATCTGTCTCTCCTTTGTTCTCCTTGCCACAGTTTCAGTTTGTCTTTCAGCTCTCATGCGGCACGGTTGTTGCATCTTTCGCTGCAATCCGAGCTTGTCGTCTTCTTTGCACATTTGGTTTCAAATCACGATCTTTAGGACCAGCCGTTCACTGTTGTTTTGATTGTAATGACAGTGTAGTCAGTAGCCGGTAATGTAAGCATCATCATAATCCTAAGAGCTGTCAGTGTGGAAAGAATAGATTAAAACCTGGAAATTTTGACATCTTGACCTCACAAGGTGCAACTGAAAACCTTGTGAAGACTTACAGAAAACGTTTGACCTCTGTCATTGCCAACAAAGGGTATATAACAAAGTATTGAGATGAAATTTTGTAATTGACCAAATACTTATTTTCCACCATAATTTGCAAATAAATTCTTTAAAAATCCTACAATGTGATTTTCTGGATTTTTTTTTCTCATTTTGTCTCTCATAGTTGAGGTATACCTATGATGAAAATTACAGGCCTCTCTCATCTTTTTAAGTGGGAGAACTTGCACAATTGGTGGCTGACTAAATACTTTTTTTCCCCACTGTATGTTTTAATTTGGACGCAACTGCTAAACATCTTAAAATGATTCACGTTGGTTTTAAATCCACCAGACAGTTGTGCCCTTTGTGCTCCATCTTTAGCAGTTTGTTTGTTACCACACTGTAACGGTTTTAAGTGATCTAATTGATTGTGTTCAGCTTTTGTGCGTCTGTAAAGCCTAATGCAAAGTATCTGCATTTGATTAGTGCTAAAGGTGACTGCTGAGGCAAATATGGTGCCGCCCAATGACAGCACAGAGGGGCAGGTGCAGGGTGTCTTGTGGCAGCTGGTTGGGCGATCGATCACTGTAAGCTGATGGCAAACACACACTGTTGTGCAGTGGAAGTCTTCTTTCTACAAGCCCCAGAGGAGCCTATTTTTTACCCATCTGTCTCTCCTTTGTTCTCCTTGCCACAGTTTCAGTTTGTCTTTCAGCTCTCATTCGGCACGGTTGTTGCATCTTTCGCTGCAATCCGAGCTTGTCGTCTTCTTTGCACATTTGGTTTCAAATCACGATCTTTAGGACCAGCCGTTCACTGTTGTTTTGATTGTAATGACAGTGTAGTCAGTAGCCGGTAATGTAAGCATCATCATAACCCTAAGAGCTGTCAGTGTGGAAAGAATAGATTAAAACCTGGAAATTTTGACATCTTGACCTCACAAGGTGCAAATGTCCGAAATTGCTGACTCTAGTGTTCTCAAACGATTAATCGCGATTAATCGCATCTAGAATAAAAGTTTTTGTTTACATAATATGTGTGTGTACTGTGTATATTTATTATGTGTATATATAAATACACACACATGCAGGTATATATTTAAGAAAAAAATTATATTTGTATATTAAATATATTTATATATAATATAAATATATTTAATATATTTATATATAATATAAGTTATATAAAATATCAATATATACATGTAAATATTTTCAAAATGTATACTGAATGAGTGTGTGTGTATATATATATATACAATATACACAATACACACACATTATGTACACAAAAACTTTTATTTTGGATGCGATTAATCGCGATTAATCGTTCAACAGCACTAGCTGACTTGTTCACTTTATGGTGAATGTTACGTAGTTTACTGTAGGACAAAAAAATAATTGAATTTGGATGGACACAAAATATTGTTTTGCCTGAATCACAAACCTAATCTGACCATTCACACTGAAAGCATTTGAATCTGAATTCACACCACATGTGTTTGGATTCGGTTTTGTAAACGTTCAACCTATAAATGGCCAATGTTATAATTCAGTACAATTTTGCCTAAATAAATGAAAAACAAAACAGTTAAAAACTAAAGTCAATTGGTATTAAGTGCTACAAGTGAATTTAGGCAAATTACAAAATATATTTATTATGTGTATATATAAATACACACACATGCAGGTATATATTTAAGAAAAATTTTATATTTGTATATTAAATATATTTATATATAATATAAGTTATATAAAATATCAATATATACATGTAAATATTTTCAAAATGTATACTGAATGAGTGTGTGTGTATATATATATATACAATATACACAATACACACACATTATGTACACAAAAACTTTTATTTTGGATGCGATTAATCGTTCAACAGCACTAGCTGACTTGTTCACTTTATGGTGAATGTTGCGTAGTTTACTGTAGGACAAAAAAATAATTGAATTTGGATGGACACAAAATATTGTTTTGCCTGAATCACAAACCTAATCTGACCATTCACACTGAAAGCATTTGAATCTGAATTCACACCACATGTGTTTGGATTCGGTTTTGTAAACGTTCAACCTATAAATGGCCAATGTTATAATTCAGTACAATTTTGCCTAAATAAATGAAAAACAAAACAGTTAAAAACTAAAGTCAATTGGTATTAAGTGCTACAAGTGAATTTAGGCAAATTACAAAATTATAATGTACCAGCAATGTTATTGTTAACTAGATGATTAAAATTGTTAAAACAATTTTCATTTATTGAAATAAAGCTGAAATAAAAATATAGATACAATGAAAAATGAAACTTAGAAAATGTTGCCTAAAATACTCAAACTTAAATCATTATCAAATAAATGAAAGCTAAATAAAAAAATTAAAAAAAAATTAAAAGCAAAACTTATGATAACCACATAAAAAATTACTGAAGTGTACACTGATTTTAAAATGAAAACAATAATAGTGAAGAAAATCAGTAGAAAATAAGTAGAAAATAATAATATATAAATAATAGTGCTGTCAAAAGATTTATCGCATCCAAAATAAGTTTTTGTTTACATAATAAATGTGTGTACTGTGTATGTTTAATATGTATATACAAATACACACATACCCAGTATATAGTTAGAAAATATTTACATGTATATATTTATATTCATATAATTTATATTATATATAAATATTTTAATATATAAACATAACATATTTTTGTGTGTGTATTTATATATACACAATAAATATACACGGTACACACTCATTTATTATGTAAACAAAAACTTTTATTTTGGATGCAATTAATTGCGATTAATCGATTTACAGCCCTAATAAATAATACTAAAAGAATACCTAATGTATGAAAAATGTATGTACATTTTGACATTTGCTAAGGATTACATTTAACAGTGTTATTAAATTATTAGTGTTTTAATGATCGACTTCAAATGAGTGTTAGATAAATGAAAAAATCTGGGAATGAACGTATTCGAACGAACATCGTTTGGCAAATGCAACGAAAGCAGCGTTTTGAACGCTCTACAGAAAGCCTAACTCTCACCAACCTCTATATTTATCAGCTTCCTTTGTCCCCAACAAGAGATCAGCCTTTAAAAGAATGCTTCAGGATTACCGTGATATAGTTTTCCACCTCTCCTAATTGCATCTGCATCAGCTGAGGGTTTAACATTTACAAGAGTATTGAATGCATGCAGCCCTCAGGAGGTAATGATGCGATTGTTCCTCTGTCAGGCACAAGATGGGAAGGGTAAAGGCATGTCTTTCTCAAGGCCTCACGTTGCCCTGGATGGCTTCATCTGCTCGGTGTGCACACACTAGAGGGCACTGATGACGCATCATCTATGCATTTCACTCCCAAAGAAGCCTGTTGCTTTGGAAACCATCACTGCATTCTCAGAGGTTTAGGAATAGCCCAGTCTGTCCTGCAGCCTCCCAGTAATGTAAAATATCTCCTTACAGAATAAATGTGCTTAAACCACTAGTTTACAGCTAGTACCGCGGCGCTGTTGAATTCATGATTCTGATTGGTTGATAGAATACGTAGTTCCAGGTTTGTTGAATTTATTACAGTTCTGTATTTTGTTCTTTCTGAGCTAGAAATAGGAGCTTGGACTGTTACTTAAAGAAATAGTGCCCCCAAAATTTACTAAAGATTCACTCACCCTGAGGTCATCCAAGATGTAGATGGGTTTGTTGTCTTACAGTGAATGGGTGCCGTCAGAATGAGAGTCTAAACAGCGGATAAAAACATCACAAAAATCCACACCACTCCAGTCAATCAATTAACATCTTGTTCACCAAAATGCGAAGTGTCTGTGATCAAATCTATCATGAAGTTGTCTTTAACTTCAAACTTCTGGCCAAAATACAAGTCCATAATCTAATATTGTTTCCTTTAGTGAAAAAGTTGTCTGGTCTGAATCAGAAGAGATATATGCACAGATCAAACACTGTTTATAAGCGAAAACAGTCCAAAACCGTTCTAAACAAATGTGTTTGTGGATATGAGAGGACAACTACGGTGGCCGAGAAGTGCAAAGCAAATCACAATTCTGAAAACAAAATAACAAATTACAAACGTCAAAAAGTCTAAATAACTAAATAACAATTCAGAAAGCACAACAACAATTCAGAAAACATTATAACAAGTCAGAAAGCACAACGACAATTCAGGCAAACCGGAAAAGGTAGGTATAGTTTGAGACAGCGCGGTTGGTTTGGGATTACTCACCGCTGACTGGACGAGACATCTGTCAATCAAAAAATACGGAATGTATATTTACATTAAGTTAAAAGTGGCTGTAAAACATCAGCTCCGGTGGTGCAGATGGATAAGCACTTGCCCTTGGCAAAAGGCGGGATCGAACCCGGGTCGATCGCGTCAAAAAGCCAAGGGCAAGCACTTATCCATCTGCGCCGCTGGAGCTGATGTTTTATGTCTACTTTTAACTAAATCTAAATAAACACCCCGTATTTTTTATTCTAGAGTAAGGGCAATTAATACAATACATTTAAACTGAGTTACTTTACGTTGATTGACAGATGTCTTGTCCAGTCAGCAGTGAGTAATCCCAAACCAATGGCGCTGTCTCAAACTATACCTACCTCGTCCGGTTTGTCTGATTTGTCGTTGTGTTTTCTGACTTGTTCATTTGTTTTCGGATTTGTCGTTGTGCTTTCTGACTTGTTATAATGTTTTTTAGACTTGCATTTGTGTTTGTAATTTGTTATTTTGTTTTCAGAATTGTGATTTGCTTTGCACTTTACGGCCACCGTAGACAACAGATGATGGACTTTTTTCACTGGAGGTAGCGTTATTATGGATTATAAATGCAATAGCTAGTTAAAGTTAAAGCTCCTTAATGATGGGCTTGTTTCTTGCAACCATGCAGATTTTCTCTTCACAAGATGTTAATTCAAGTCATGTGGATTACTTGTGGATTATTGCGATGTTTTTATCAGCTGTTTGGACTCATTCTGACGGCACCCATTCGCTGCAAAGGATCCATTGGTGAGCAAGTGATGTAATGCTAAATTTCTACAGATCTGTTCTGACGAAGAAACAAACTCATCTAAAGTACAAACTCATGAAAATTCAGCAAATTTTCATTTTTGGTTGAACTTTTTTTCTATTATTTTGGTAGTCTGTCGTCAACTATTCCTTCCTTATTCTCTCTGGCACAGACTCTCATTCTCTCTTCCAGAGTGCTGTTATTTGTATTCTATCCACGACAGGAACATAGCTCTACATCAACAGTGAGCAGTCCAGCTGCGTGGGGCTCACACTTTTTCTGTTTGAATAAACACAGCCTTGTAATTCTTGGACATATGGCAGTGGCCTATCTGACACCCACTACCAGAGGGAGCAGAACGTTCTGTTCGAAGGCGCTCCGTGTCAATGCAAATATTTGATATTCCACTCCGACACCCCGCCAGTCTCAGCGCTATGAGCCCAGGTGCTGCGGTTGTGGAAGTTTTCTCATTATAAGGCCTTTCCCATCCACCTTTGCATTCATTTAAAAAAAAACAATTTCATCTGGGAATTTAGTCTTGAAAGAATTAACTTGAAAAAAAACAAGACCATATTTATCTGGTATTTAAAGTTACAATGAAAAAAATAACACTTCAGCTTCAAATACATGTTATTGTGAAATATAGTCATCTCTTTTCTGGTCCACACAGGTGTCTGCAGCAGATGGAAGTGGACGGCCTGTCCGTGGATGACGTGTTCAGACAGTGTGTGTTTAAAAAGGATGAAAGAGAAATGGTTCTGAGGGCCGTCCGTTTGGTGCATCCTGAATACCAACCCATTGTATCCAAAGATCAGCCTGTCTGTTCCCTGCCATTGGTGAAACAGTTTTATGCTGAGGTACCATTACATTACATTACATAACGTTACGTTATATTACTTTTCAAAAGTTTGGGATAAGTAGTATTTATTTATTTTTTTAATATATCTTATTTTCACCATGTCTGCATGTATTTGATCAAAATATGGTAAAAGCAGTGATACTGTGACATTTGTGAGATTATTACAATTTAACATATTTTGTATTTGAATATATTTTGAAATGTAATTTATTTCTGTGATGGCAAAGCTGAATTTTCAGTCTTCAGTGTCACGTGATCCTTCAGAAATCATTCTAATATGCTGATTTGCTGCTCAAGAAACATTTCATGTGATTATCAATGTTGAAAACTGTTATGTGGTGTTTTTTCAGGATTCGAGTAGAAAGTTAGAATAAAAATGAAAAAAAGAATAACGGCATTTATATGAAGTAAATATTTAAACTTTCTAAATGTTGCTTTTGATCAGTTTAAAGTTTCCTTGCTAAAAAAAAATCCCAAACTTTTGAAAGAGAGTTTAATTTTTAAATATAAAAAATAGATGTATTTTTTATTTTACAGTCCTCATCATATTATATATCATATTTATACTATTAATAATAATATTTACTTTATTATATTGTATTTATAAAATTCACTTTTTGTCATTTTTATTCATTCAGTTTTTCATTTTATCTTCTGAATTTTTAACGGAGCTATACAGTGTTTATGGTGTATTTAGAACAAGCCCATAATATATAGCTGTTTTTAGGGTAAAAACTGATTTATCCAGGCCTAAAAATGTGTTGGTGCATTGCCATTATATAAAACATATGTTAATTTGGCTAAAGATTAGCTACGGATTATAAAATGCAGCATTTTTTCCAAAATGATATCTGTGGGGTAAAGTGTGCCAGCTTTGGGGTAAGATGTGCCAGTGCTAAGAAATGGTACAGATACAGTAAATAATGTTATAAAATGGCCTCGCTATGTTAAAATTAAATTTTTTGGCTGGTTTATGTCAAATTGAATAATATGCTGTAAAATATGGGATGGGAATTTGAATGGAATGTAGGTTGTTTTCTCATATTCCACAATGATTGAACTTTCTCCTAGTTGGAAACAACTATTTTATAAGGAATATTAGGTTTTACTTTATTGCTCTTGGCCTAGAAGGCAGCATAAGTAAAAAGTGGCACAGCTTACCCCACTTTCCCCTACTCCAAATTATTTATGTCCGTTTATGAGCCAGAATTACTATTGCTATGACTGGGTTCTCTGAAACCAGATCATAAGGTAAGAGGTAGAGAACAGCTAGACTTGAAGGGCCCTATCATACACCTGGTGAAATGCGGCGCCAGGCTCGACACAAGAGTTTTTTGCTGGTTAGGGTTCCTGGTCAGCCTGACGCAGTTATGATTTTTACGTCTTAAAGAGCGCGTTAGTAATGTGCACCTATAGGCGAGTCCACAGCGCGTGTACACTACTTATTAACACACACAGGGAGCAGCACACAAACATGCCAAATATAAAAAATTAAAGGATTACAATGTTAAAGATGATTATTATTGTATAGGCTACATAAATATGAAAATGCCTACATGTCATAATGGATAGACATTGCATGTATCAGAATTAGGCTACCTATTTGCTCGCGTACGAGCAGCTCCGTTTCCTGTCTGGAGACGCGTTCAGTTTTTGCTCTTGCAAATTCCGTTGTAAAGGTGATCTCCATCTTATCTTTTTTTAGGTTTAGTCTAGTGAAATGGCTTGACAAATCCAGTTTTCTGTCTTTTGACATATTTTATGAACAAATAACTCTTATGAGTAAATTTTTTTTGTGAGACAAAAAACATACAGAGCCACCAGTGTGTCATGAGCAGATGACTCTTATGAGCGGTTTCATATGAATCCAAAATACAGTGCAACAAGTTTAGCTTGATTCACGAACAAATGAATCTTATGAATTAGATATTTTTAAGGGAATCCAAAATATACAGCATGAGTAGTTTAGTCTGATTCATGAAACAAAAGATTTTTATGAACTGATTCTTTTTAATGATTCAAAAACCTACAGCGCGACCAGTGTAGTTCGATTCTCAAACAAATTACTTTAATAAACTGGTTCTTTTTAGTGAATCCACAACATACAGCATGAATAGGTTGTCTGATTCATGAAACAAATAACTCTTGTAAACTGATTATTTTTAATGATTCAAAAACATACAGCACGACCTGTGTGGTTCGATTTACGGGCAAATAGCTCTAGTTATTTGTGTATTATTTTAGTGAATCCACATGATACAGCATGAACAGTGTAGTCTGATTCATGACCGACTCTTATGAACCAACTCTTTTAATGAATACCTCAAAAAAATTAGTTACCGCTTCAGATAAGTCTGAAACACAGCCCTGAATACTGAATCACTGTAATTACCCAAATGAATCAGAATCAAATTGCGAAATCTTCATCAATACCCATCCCTTCTTGTTTACACAAGAACATACAAAAACAGATCAACAAAAACGTCAAATGAATCATGTCAAATTCATATTTTGATATGTTGAATTTCATAATTCAGCATTCACACCCATCGTGTTTCTGGGACTATTTTGTAGCCATTTGTGTGGGTACATGTGCTTTCTCTTTCTCTTTGAATAGACGTTGTTTATCCGGCTGTCAAAAACAGTTACGTCTGTTGTGCACCATAGACACTTTACCAGCAGCGCACATAAATCATCTCTGGTTTATTTGAGGTGGGTTACAGGCCTGCTGGGAGCTAGCGACGAGAGATGTTTATTAATGTAGATCTGTCACGGCATTTAATTGTCCATGTTAAACGTCCTTTTTGTGACATGCCTTTTAAGGGATGTCTCGATATTTATTCACTCTCTTCTTTGGCATCCACCTCAGATTGGCTTCATCAAACCGCATCCTATTGTGACACAAATCCAGAGGGTTGCGATGGAAACCAAACTTACATTTGACTCCTACGTCATGCCCATGCTGTGTCCGCCCATTCCCTGGACGTCCCCGAAGAGCGGCGCTTACCTGTTGACGCCAACCAAGCTGATGCGCTCCACCGATGGAGCCATCCAACACCAACTTCTCCTGGAGAAGAGCCGAGATGAGGACCTCCATGCTGTGCTGGACTCTCTCAATCAGGTGGGCAGCTGCCCTTGGAAGATCAACAAGCCCCTGTTGGACATCATCATCTCGATCTTCAACGACAAAGGCAACGACAAGCTCTGCATCCCTCCGCCACTGTCCGAAGCACCCGAGATTCCTCGCTTCAACCCTCATGACCCGTCCTACACTCAGGCCGAGAAGGCCTACATGAAACGGGAGGGTGTCAAAGCCAAGAAGAAGGTGGCGGAGATGCACAGCCTCCGAATGGACGCGCTGTATAAGTTGTCCATCGCCAACCACATGAGGGACGAGATCTTTTGGTTTCCACACAATATGGACTTCCGAGGGCGTACCTACCCCCGGCCGCCTTATTTTAACCACCTTGGTAGTGACGTGACCAGGGGATTGCTGCTGTTCGCCGAAGGACAACCTCTCGGGCCCAAAGGCCTCGTCTGGTTGAAGATCCACCTGGTGAACCTCACAGGGTTGAAGAAGTGTAGCTCACTAGCTGGACGACTGGAGTATGCCGATAGTATCATGGAGGACATCCTAGACTCGGCAGACCATCCTCTTGACGTAAGCATTTTAATAGCACCTTTACCTGACTTGTGTACTAGGAGTTGTGGCTGGATGAACTTATGTATGGCTAGTGACACAACAAACTGATTTGTCAAGCAGTTTGTGCAACAATATGTATATTGGAGATCAGCTGTGCATTTGGGAACAGAGTCTCAGGCCAATGTACCATGTGTATGATGAACGTTCATTGGTTGAGTTTGCAATGAGTGGTGATGATGATGATGATGATAATGATAGTAATAAATAAGTAATGAATAAATAAATAAAATTATTAATTATGTATTTAATTTAAATTATTTAAATGTGTTATAATTATTCATTAAATTGTATTAAATTAAAATGTATTAAATAAAATAAAATAATAATTATTAATAATAGTATTAATTAATTAATTAATAATGTTGTTGTTGTGCATGAATGAATGAATGAATGAATGAATACAGTAATAAATGAATAAATAAATAAAATTATTAATTATGTATTTAATTTAAATTATTTAAATGTGTTATAATTTTAATTAAATTGTATTAAATTAAAATTTATTAAATAAAATAATAATTATGAATAATAGTATTAATTAATTAATTAATAACGTTGTTGTTGTTGTGGATAAATGAATAAATGAATGAATGAATGAATACAGTAATAAATGAATAAATAAATAAAATTATGTATTTAATTTAAATTATTTAAATCCATTATTATTTAAATGTGTTATAATTTTAATTACATTTTATTAAATTAAAATGTATTAAAATAAAATAATAATTATGAATAATATTATTAATTAATTAATAATGTTGTTGTTGTTGTTATTATTATTATTAGCTAACTTTCTGACCAGAGTATTAGGCCATATACTTAATGATACAACTACTACTACTTCAAAAAATAATAATAATACTTATTATTATCATCATCATCATCGTTATTGGAATAATGAAATAAAAATACTAATAATTCTAACTAGTAATTGTAATATGATTGAATTTTTTTATTTCAATATTGTATTAAAGGTGGTTGTAATGGTGATAATAATAAAATAACTTAATTTATTGTTATTAATAATAATAATAGCTATAATTGTTGTTTTTGTTGTTGTTAATATTGTTCCTAGTATTAACGATAATAATAATTAAATAAATGAAAACTGTTTTAATTGTGTAACTTTTATATCAGTGTTATATTTTAATGTAATGTTGTATTATTATTTTTAATATTATTAGTATTATAAAAAAATTGTTATTCTATTTACTGGTATTAACAACAACAGTGATAATAGTTATTAGTTAAGTCATTAAATAAAGTTATCAGAGCACCAAAATGCTTATCGTACAAAAGAAAATAATTTAACAAATCAACTTTTAGTTTATAAATATTACCAAAAACTGCATAAGCTTATTTAATTTCCTGACTTTGCACAATCTTATGCTTAATTACGTTTAATTTGCATTTAGAATTATTTTCCAGCTGTCCATGGCATCAAATCAGACCTAATTTTTGGGTCATAACCCTACAATATACAGTTTATACGTTTATTATATATTGTAGTGAATCATATATAATACAGTTACAGAAAATATACAGTACAGAATATATGTATTAAGTCATTCAACATTAGATATATTATTATAATACAGTCATCCTATGCAATTAAACATGATACTTATAGTACAGGATCCTCAGGTTTTATTATGGCAGACCTCAGTTTTACTCTGCATGTAGACCAGAGTATTCAATGTATTCAGTATACGTTCAGATCCAAACGCATCACACTGCAGGCTGTGAGCTATGACTGAGCCATATTTTTGTGTTTTATTGAAATGATTGTCACATTCCTCGTTCCCCAAAGAGTCACAGCTCTATTTTGCAGGGTCGCAAATGGTGGATGAATGCAGATGAGCCGTGGCAGGCACTGGCTTGCTGTATGGAGATAGCAAATGCCTCCCGCTCCCCCGACCACACCAAATTCATCTCTTATTTCCCTGTTCATCAGGTACTGAATCTTTAGGAACTGCCAGCATTTGCTATACAGACACTATTACACGTAATTGTTATTTAGGGATAAGTTGTAGACTTTAAACTGATCGATATGTGTTCTCACTCTCGTAGGACGGTTCGTGCAATGGCCTCCAGCACTATGCTGCCCTCGGGCGGGATGTGATTGGTGCTACTTCGGTGAACCTCATGCCCTGTGAAGTGCCTCAGGATGTGTACAGCGGTGTAGCTCAGCAGGTCAGTCACACTGCGGCACCAGAGGGCGGCAGTGCGTCTTACGGCCCTCCAGAGCAGCGTTTCCCAACCTTTCCCTGTCCTAAGTTACTCCACAGTTCCATCAATAAGGTTCAGAGGTTCAGAAATGTGCTTTATTTAACCCATATTATACTGGTTAGTATCATTTAGCATTTTCGTTATGTTCATGTAGGTTCGTAAGTTAATATATTATGTAATATAATATTATAGGGAACATTATTGTGGTTAATTAACAGTGTTGTATTATTTTTCAAATTATGTTTAAAATGCCATATTTATATATGTATTAACTATTATACTGTTATTACACATTTTGTATTTAATTAAAAAATATGTAAGTATTTAAATAATAATACAATTCTAATAAAATTTGATTATGTAATTATCAGTATTTATATTATTTTTAATTAAAATTATGTGTGACAATTATATATGATTGATATTATATATAAGAAATACTGTTTTTAAATATATTATTATTGTTTTTTATGTTTGTTATTTTATTTAAATGTATTATAATTTAATTATAATGTATACATTTAAATGAAAAAAAGTATTTATTTACAATATGTTTATAATATAATTGTTTATTATATTATATCATATATAATAGAAACATTTAATACTGTTATATATTTATTATATTATTAATTAATTAAAAAAAAAATTATTTAACTTTTTATAACTATAGTGCTCACAATTTTATAGGTAATAAGATTTATAATACAATCTAACAAATAAACTGGTAGTAATATTTAAATGTAATATTTATATATTATTAAAATGTATTTTTATTTATATTTGAAATATAATAACCTAAACAAAAGTTACATGTATAAATTTAAGTTTAAATGTATAACATCCACACAAACTTGCATATCATGCTGTCTACAGGAAATGGGGCAAAAAAAGTAATGATGAATAAAATCAAAATCTTTCCTGTGTGAGACTCACTGCACTAGAGCACATCCACAGTCAGCCTTTACCATTTTCATTTTTATTCATTTTGATTTATTTTGATTTTTTTCAAGTCGACTTTGTCAGAGGCTTTTTACACCTTTTTTTATTTTCCATCAAAGCTTAATATGCATCTTAAATTGCTGCAGCACCACAGCTTATGGTCTCAAAGCCCCAGATTTCAGTTCTGGGAAGACTGCGTATTTTTTAGAGAACTCTATCTGAGATATATTGACCTACCTATCGATTTGGCTATATTTTGGGAACACAGCGTACTCTCTAAATACAGTGTTGTACCGTTCTTGCCAGAAACATCAGGTTGCGCTAACCTTAGCTGAAGGGTACATAGCAGACATCTCAATGAGCTCTGCTGAGTCAGCGTTTAGTGCCTAAACAGCCCCATTGTTTCTCAGTAGTTGACATCAGAACTTCTGTTTCATAAGGTAAGCTCTCAAGAGCCCCAATAAGACGGTCAGCACCTTTCACATCTCGTGTGTGATTAATGAACCTGCTCCTCCCTCCGTGCAGATTAAGCTATTTATAGTTTAAGTGAGGGACAATTGGGATATTCCTGTTATCGTTATCATTTTAAAATAAGTTATAGGTACCTATTTGTTATTAGCATTTTTTCCTCAGGCTCCTATATATATATATATATATATATATATATATATACACCTTTCACATCTCGTGTGTGATTAATGAACCTGCTCCTCCCTCCGTGCAGATTAAGCTATTTATAGTTTAAGTGAGGGACAATTGGGATATTCCTGTTATCGTTATCATTTTAAAATAAGTTATAGGTACCTATTTGTTATTAGCATTTTTTCCTCAGGCTCCTATATATATATATATATATATATATATATATATATATATTGTTTAAATAATAAAAAATAATTAGTGATTAATTAATGATGATTTCTTTCATATTTTTTAATTTTTTAATTTCCTATACTCAACATAATTTGCAAGTTTGTGTGGATGTTATAATAAATAAATTACACTTACATACAATTACATTGTATGGGTCAAAATTATCATTTTTTTTCTTCAAAATCATTAGGATATTAAGTAAAGATCATGTTCCATAAAGATATTTTGTAAATTTCCTACCGTAAATATATTCAAACTTAATTTTTGATTAGTAATATGTATTGCTAAGAACTTCATTTGGACAACTTTAAAGGCGATTTTCTCAATATTTTGATTTATTTTTGCACCCTCAGATTCCAGATATTCAAATTCAAAGTTGTATCTCGGCCAAATATGATCCTTTCATAACAAACCATACACCAAAGGAAAGCTTATTTTTTCAGATTTCAGAGGATGTATACATCTCAGTTTAGAAAAATTGACCCTTATGACTGGTTTTGTGGTCCAGGGTCACAAATAAATAAATATAATACATAGTATTGTATTTAAAATATAAATGAAAATACATTTTAATAATATATAAATGTTATATTTCTTTAAATATTATTACCAGTTTATTTGTTTTATTTTATTATACATCTAATACTAATACACTTTTTATTATATATTGCAACATATGGTATAATATAATATGATGTTTTATAATATTAGGATTATATTTATTCTCTAAATATAGAGATCTATGTATTTATTTATATATTACTAAGAATTTATGATTTGATATTATATTTTGTGTTACCATATATTTAATTTATTTATATTGTAAATATAATAATAAAAAGGTTTAATTTTTATTAAATATTACAATATAGAACATTATAATGATGAAATAAATATAATAGTGTTATCTTGTTTTTATTATATTTTTTTATATTTTTTATTATAAATATAAAAAAATTTAATTGTTAATATGAAAAACTTATATTTATTAGTTTATTTATATTTTATAACAACAAATAACAATATTACACAATTTTATTATAAATATATTACATATATTTGTTATATATATATATATATATATATATATATATTGTTTTTTATTAAGCTATTTAAAATATATAATGTTTTATAATATTTAAAATATTATAATTATTATATTTAAAAATATAAAAAATACATACAAAAATATAACACTAGTCAAACTAATATGATTAGTCGGTTGTTGGACGAGTTCAACAAATTACCAGTTGTGACCAATCCCTAACATAACTGTGACTGATAAGTGTATTGATTTCTGGAGTCTCAGAAAGGTGCACTGTCCCGTGTCTCATAGGTGGAAGAGTTCCGGGCTCGGGATGCGGAGAAGGGTTTGAAGATCGCGCAGGTGCTGGAGGGCTTCATCAGCAGGAAGGTGGTAAAGCAGACGGTGATGACTGTGGTCTATGGCGTCACGCGCTACGGGGGCCGTCTGCAAATCGAAAAGCGACTGAAGGAAATTGATGATTTCCCTAAGGTGAGGCTCTTTGCACTTTGCTTAAAATTATCATAGATGGAGTAACAAACTGGGATGAAAAATGACTCAAGAGTTTCCTTGTGAAACAAACCTTGTCCTGCATGATGTTTGGATGGATGTGGTCGGATCCATATTTTCCAGCCAGAACCTGCAGCAGAAACTCTCCCTGATTTATTATAGACACTTTTTTGATGGAAAAGATCCTCAATCTTTTGCAGCCTCATCTCAGGTGATTTAGCCATACAAAGACCTCTGTTATCTCCATTATTTCTAGTTATGTAACCTTTTCTTCATCTCGACTTAAAGGTGAAGATAAGCTTGGTAATCTTGCTTTACATCGCAGATGACGTGAACTAAAGATTTATATATCCCCGTTTGCGTCAGGCTTGATTTCCCCAAGTGCGGCCCTCTGTGGGTAGCTGTAGAAACAGGTGACGCTCTTCTCGTCTCTCCTAAGCTGTGGAGAATGAAAGAGGAATTAGCACCTGTAGAGTCAAGGGATCTCATCTCCACATTCTGCTTGCTAAAGCAAAACTTTTGATTGTTGAACTTAAAGGGATAGTTCACCCAAAAGTGAAAATTATTTCATTAATTACTCACCCTCATGTCATTCCAAACCCGTAAGACCTTCGTTCATCTCCGGAACACAAATTAAGATATTTTTGCTGAATTCCGAGAGTTCTCTGAACGTCCCATAGACAGCAAGGTTCCTAACACGATCAAGGCTCAGAAACGTAGCAAGGAGATCACTAAAATAATCCATGTGACATCAGGGGTTCAACCGTAATTTGACGAAGCTACGAGAATACTTTTTGTGCGTAAAAGAAAAAAAAATAATGACTTTATTCAACAATTCGTCTCCTCCACGTCACCCTGGCAACCTTAACGTAAATGGCGTATGCTGTTTTGTGTCAACTGTGTCACGCGGATACGTTTTCTACGTTGTTTGTGCTTTTATCTGAACGTAAATAATGTATCCGCGTGATGTCCTTGCTACGTTTCTGGACCTTGATCGTGTAAGAACACTTGCTGTCTATGGGAGGGTCAGAGAACTCTCGGAATGCATCAAAAATATCTTAATCTGTGTTCTGAAGATGAACGAAGGTCTTACGGGTTTGGAACGACATGAGGGTGAGTAATTAATGACAGAATTTTCATTTTTGGGTGAACTAACCCTTTAAACATGTTTAGTGGTGTTTCCTTGTTCAAATGTCAGGCCTTTTTTAGAGTCTTTGGTTCCATTTGAAACCGTTAACTTTTTCCATTCCACAAGGTTCTTTAGATTTTTTAAATGTTCTTCAAACTAAGACAAAAATGGTTCTTTTAAGAACTGTTCGCTGAAAATTTCATTGGGGAACCAAAAATAGTTCTTCAGTGGTGAAAACCCACTTTTGAATGTTTATTTTTAATTTCAGTTACTGGTACCTGACATACATATGCAAATGAACATAAACTTGCAGGTTTGGATAAAGCATCCACACTGTTGTGCTTTTTTGTATATCAAACAATAGGGGCTTTCGCACTAGAGGAACCTTTTCATAGTTGCTAGAACTATCGGTTGCTTTTGGCGTGGTCACACCGCAGAAACTAGGAATGTATTTAGTTTTAGGAACTCTAATGAAATGAGCTCCTACTTCAGAGTAGGGTCTAAAACAGTTCTATAGGAACTACCAGTGATGTAAGTGTATACTGATTGGCTACCCGACATTTTTAAAATGCCATGTAAAAATATTTACTCCACAAACATGAAAACAACGATAATGGCATTTAGCTACCTGTTGTCTGCAGTGTTATATTATTTTCTCAGCCTCGATAATAACACTACAAGTTGTCGTAAGAGATGTAGTCAGATTTTCATGCTCTTTTAGTTGCGTAAATTGTGCATTTACATTCCATCCCTGTTATCACGAAACCCACAAAACACAAGAAAAATAGCTCTGTTGTTGATGTTTATAAATGCCGCACTTAAAGGCATTGCAGTCAGTTGCTTCAGAGTTCCAGCTGCCGGTGTGAATGCAACCAGGAAAACAGCCCAAGGGAGAAATTGGTTCTCTAGGAACGACCCTGCTGGCTAGTTCCTAGAACTGAGTTCTTAGAACTACGTGGTGCGAAAGCCCCTAAAGTGCTATTTTCAATCCACAGGACTACATATGGGAGGCTTCACATTACCTGGTGAAGCAGGTGTTCAGCAGCTTGAAGGAAATGTTCACAGGGACGAGAGAAATTCAGGTACATACTATCACATTCCCTTATACACTTTCGGGACTATTATATTTTTAACTTGTGTGGTCACATTTACCATTGTTCAGCGAATTTTCGCAGGTGGAATTCTGGCATTTTAATAGGAATTCACGCGATTTGGAATTTCGTGTGAAGGCGAAAGATTTCCTCATGCAAATTTTGCAATATGTGGATTTGTCTTGTTGACCAACAGAAAGCTGCTTGGTTTGAAAGTGACTTTTGTGTAAACTGCGCTTCATACAATAGACAGTGGACCTTTTTTGTTACCAAAATTTCACAGAATATAATATGGCTGTTGGTTTTAGTTTTGTAACGAAGGGTTAACTCGGAGATGAAAATGAGCAGAATCCGATGGCAGTGTTTTATTAAAGTAAACTTGAAAACCAGGAAACAAAAAACAGGGATGACTACTAAAAAAAGATACGGCCCGAAACATGAACAAAACTAAACTACAAACGAAATGCCCACAAAACAAGATCACAAAGAGATTAGAAGTTACATTTTAGTGTTGTTTTTATCACTACTAAATTGTGTGTATTCAATTATAGAAATTAAATAGAGGCTGTATATTTTTCTTGGCTGTCTAGTGTTATTGTTTTTTGCTTTGATATTCATGTTTCATTTATGAATCCTTTGCAATATGTTCTTTACCAAAAGCTAAATCTAAGGTCAATTTGTGGCCATTTTCATTATATTTTAGCTCATTTTGGAGTCATTTTTCAAATTATATTAGATCTTAGTTTTATTTCAGTTGAGTTGACAAAAATGTTTTAATTTAGTTTTTATTTATTAACACTGACAAAATTGTGGCCGTCAGTTGAATAAATGTTTTAGTCAAATAAAATCGCATGATTAATTTGTCACATTAATCTTATACACCACCACTGTTCGAATATTTTTTTTTTTAATTGATCAAAAGTGACAGTAAAACCTTATTTTATTTCTATTTCAACAAAACCCCACCCTTGTTGCTTCTCTCGTTTTTTGTTTTTTGTGAATGAAAAGATTTTTGTGAATCACCAGATATAGTTCTCCCATGATGCAACTGGCTGCGGCTCATGAATTACAGCTGCAGGAAACAGAAAAGGAATGAACGTCCCTGGTGCAGTAGATCAAGGACCAGCCGCTCACGGTCTCCTGTTGCACCCCTTGGGGAGATGAGCAGACAGGCAGAGCGAATGTGAAATAACCCCCACTTTGCCTACAGACACAAGCAGCTTCCTAAATAGGTCAGATCCTCGGGAGGGGCGGCAGTTGAGCCCAGGTAGTTATCATTCCCGTTACCCGCAGAAGGTGATACAGGAGCGGAAAATTGGGGGAGCGACGTGGACCCCGGCTGTTGGTGAACGTTCTGATGAATGGAGCCACTTCAGGCCCGGCCCGCTTCCAGATGAACAGAGGAATTTATCTCACACAAAGTGTTTCGGGGAGAGCACTGGGGACGTTGCGAATGTGGCAGCCAAGTTGCGCAGCCAGCACTGTTGCTGCGGATCAGCAGGTTTTTTAAACGCTTCATCTCAGCAACAACTTCCCACCTGTGCGTCTGGATTTTTCCAGCTAGCACAGCCGGAGACTACTTTATCGCAAATACTTTATCGCAATTTTTTCCGGTGAAGACAAAGCGTTATGCATAGGGTTTTGGTTTCAGTTTATCTAGTTCAAATCATAATGCAAATTTGGTTTTGTTCTAAATTCTTAATGTATACAAACTGAGTTGGATCGATTGGTTGACGCCTCTGATTTTTATTTATTTTTTTCTCAGGAATGGCTGACGGAGAGCGCTAGTCTAATAGCTAAGTCTGGGAGGACGGTGGAATGGGTCACGCCGCTGGGACTTCCTATCGTTCAGCCCTACCACCGAATAAAGAACCAAACGGTAAATTAACTTGCTAACTTAACTAGTTTACCATTTTAAACACATTGGCCCACAGTTGGACCCTTGACCCCTTATGGGCCTCCATGTTTAAAGCAGCACTATGTAACTTTTTCTGTGTTCAAAATTAGCAAAATGTATATAATGAGCGAGTACATCATGAATTCATCTTCCAAACCGCATTTTTGTCTTATTCCGAATCAATACAGTACACTTATAATAAGTACTTATATTTGGACTATTGTAGGCTGGTCAGGTCGTCACCGCTGCGGAGGAACACATACCTGCGTGAATCGCCATAGACATAAACTTAGAGAAGTAGCTCCGGTTGGAATGTTCTTCTGCGGGATGTGTGCAGTTCTGTTTATTAACCGCTAGAGCGCCAAAATTTACATAGTGCTGCTTTAAATGATGTAATTAGGGCCCTATGGAATGTTTTGTTTATTTTATTCCCAAAATTCCATGTTTTCTGTTCTAATTTTCTAGATTCAGTTTTAATGGTTTAATTCAATTTGAATAATTAAATAGTATGTCTAATCAGTTTAATAAAAAAAACTTCAAAGCTAAGAATTTATTTCAATTTTAACAATAATAGTGTCCAAACATATTTTATTCTTTCAGAAATTCTGTTGTATGTTTTCATTTTTCTGAATTGTGTATTTTAAGATTTAATATAAATGTATTATCAAATTAATGGATAAAACAAACAAAAAAAAATTATAAAATGAGTAATTCCTTTTAATTTTTTGCCTAACAAAGTGCTGCGAATCTACTGAACAGTAGCAATTTGTATTCCTGTCATAAGTTCTTCAACTAAACTTTTATTTGGCAGGTTGCAATTAAGACCTTTGAGTTTCTGTTAGTATTTGACAATAGTGAAAAAAAAGTGAAAGTAACTCACTGTTTGCTATTGTTTGGCAAATTTTCACCAACAAAATCCAGTCATTTCAATACAAATCCACACAATTGAAAATTATGCTTGGGGATGAAAGATTTCCATAAACTGATTTCACAACTGGTTCAAGCTGGTCATGCTAATTTGCCATGTTGCCATGTATGAGCTGTCATACATATCTACACAATTGATAGTAGACAATGGACATTTTTGCCTGCAAGATATTGCTAATTTGACCAAACTTTGAGGCCGTTCACTCATTTTGGTTTTATCAAGTTGCCAATTTGTACTTGAACAGATACTAGATTGATTCAACATTTTCCCTTTTCTGAAAGACACAATAAGTCTTTCATTTCGTCATCTTTGAGGTCTTTCACTGTACTTCCTCAGCAGAATTCAGCAGGGAGTCCGACCTCTCTCTCCGCCCAGCAGGCGCGCTCTTTCTCGCTCTCCATCACAGCATAGCACTGCTTGTCAAAAAAGTCTTGTGCAGCTGGGAGTGAAACAATGAAGTAACGCGGCAGAGGATTTGCATGCAGACGGCCTGCCTTGCTGTCAGATAGCATCAGCAACAGAGCTGAGGCGGCACAGCGGTGGCCTGTAGTGCGTGCCGAGATTCAGCAGAGAGCATCTGGCAACCCGTCTATGTCACAGCCGCTGAGCATTTGCTGCTGTTGCTGGGTGTGGCTTAATGCCTAATACTAGATTTGGTTCTTAAACAGCTTTTTTTTTATTTGACACTGGAAGTTTCAGCTAAGTTGCATTTTGTTTAAATATTTTAAAATGTAATTTATTATACTAAAAGGTTATAAATCAAGTACAAGCAGTTTTTCATAAAGAAAAATAAACTTTTTTTTTTTAATCATAAAAGGTGTTTCTTCAATTTTGAGCACTTTTTTTGTCAATTAATTTTGTAACTTTCATTTTATTATTAAAAATGCACTGGGCAAAAAGCGCTCGTAGTTGAAGAAACGCTCATGTTCATATCATACATAATGTGCTGACATTTCTTTTCCGCAGTGTTTAAATTAATATGCAAACACTGGCTAATATTCCCTGCCTTTGGAAGTCAAATGACTGTACAACTGGGTACAGCTGATGTCATTTGGACCTTAATGACAAGCGTGTGCCTGTGTTCTACTTCATTCCTGTACAGTTTTGAAGAACTGAACCCATTCATTTGTCCTTCACTCCCGGCAATATGTGTAATGTCATGTGCCTGGCCTTTTCGTTTTCATCCCTCTGGTCCACATATCTAGGCAGTGGAAATAATGTGTAATAGCATGGCCTGTGTTGTCCTCCGTGGGGTTGTGCTGTTGAAAAGGTGCCATTTGTTGACTCTTGCTTTATTTACGTGTCACTTGCCCTTTTCCAAATGCTTTAAGATGTTGACTTCTAAGTCCAGCACCTAAAGAAAATACAATGGCATTTTTTCTTGTATCATTATTAGTAATATTAATTTTGTTTCAATAACACACAATGTATTTTTAAATAATTGTTCTATTGAATATTTGGCAACACTTTACTAATTCTCACTATTAACTAGTTAAAAACCTATTATTAAAGGGTTAGTTCACCCAAAAATTAAAATTAGCCAATAAATTACTCACCCTCAAGTCATCCTAGGTGTACAGGTGCATCTCAAGAAATTAGAATGTCGTGGAAAAGTTCATTTATTTCAGTAATTCAACTCAAATTGTGAAACTTGTGTATTAAATAAATTCAATGCACACAGACTGAAGTAGTTTAAGTCTTTGGTTCTTTTAATTGTGATGATTTTGGCTCACATTTAACAAAAACCCACCAATTCACTATCTCAACAAATTAGAATACTTCATAAGACCAATAAAAAAAAACATTTTTAGTGAATTGTTGGCCTTCTGGAAAGTATGTTAATTTACTGTACATGTACTCAATACTTGGTAGGGGCTCCTTTTGCTTTAATTACTGCCTCAATTCGGCGTGGCATGGAGATGATCAGTTTGTGGCACTGCTGAGGTGGAGTTTCACAATTTGAGTTGAATTACTGAAATAAATGAACTTTTCCACGACATTCTAATTTATTGAGATGCACCTGTATATGACTTACTTCTTTCGGACGAATCCAGTCGGAGTTATATTAAAAAAGGTCTTTGATCTTTCAAGCTGTTTCATGCCACTCAGCGGGTGTTGCATGCATCTGTCCAAAAGCAGTTAAATAAAATGCACCCATCCATAAAAAAAAGTGTCTCACAGGGCTTCGGGGGGGTAAACAAAGGCCTTCTGTAGCGAATCGATGCGTTTTTGTAAGAAAAATATCCATATTCAAAACGTAATCACATTAATGTAGCTTGCGCTCACTGTTGTAAACTGGAAGCAGTTTCAGGGGAATGACGTATAAGGTCAGCTTTGCGCATGCGCCGCTCAGAAGTGATGAACGCTGAAGCACAGGGGAGAGATAAAAACAAAACAACGGTCAAGAATTAGAAGTACAAAACGAGGATTTGTAAAGAAGAATGTCGGAGGATTTTGATATAAGCCAAGAGGAGACTGGTTTTCCTTTGCTAAAGTAAGGAAACTTTGCTTCCTTTGCTCCTGTTAACAAACGTTGGTTTTCACGAGACTCATGTGGCATGAGCAACGCTGACATCTTACGTCATCCGCCTGGAGCTGCTTCCGTGTACAACTGTTGGCGCAAGCTACATTAAAGTGATTATTACGTTTTGAATATGGATATTTTTCTAACAAAAACGCATCGATTCGCTACAGAAGGCCTTTGTTCACCCCCCGGAGCCGTGTGAGACACTTTTTTTTTTTATGGATGGGCCCATTTTATTTAACTTCTTTTGGACGGATGCATGCAACACCCGCTGAGTGGCATTAAACAGCTTGAAAGATCAAAGACAATTTTTAATATAACTCCGACTGGATTCGTCTGAAAGAAGAAAGTTATATACACCTAGGATGACTTGAGGGTGAGTAATTTATGGGCTAATTTTAATTTTTGGGTGAACTAAACCTTTAACATATTGGCTGTTTATTAGCTCTTATAAAGCACATATCTGCCTGGCCATATTTTACATCCCTAATCCTACCCAACACCTAAACTTAACAACTACCTTACTAACTATTAATAAGCAGCAAATTAAGAGTTTATTGAGGCAAAAGTCGTAGTTAATGGTTTGTTAATAGCAAGAATTGGACCTTGAAATAAAGGTCATAAAGAATATTTTCTTTTTTTTTTATTTAATAAAACAATTATTGTAAAGATTTATTTTAGGATTTGTTGAAGCCTACAGTATATGTCAGTGTAAATTGGAATAATAATCATTTTTTACAGTAATGTTTTTTTAACTGTTAAAACAGTTTCCATTAGAATTTTCAATTAAAAAATTTCTGAAATTTGACTGAATCTCTACTGCAGACTGTACTGTCTGGTCCTAAATATCATGACCCACTTCCACGAATGTAGGTCATCATATTTTATTGGACTTTTATGGAATTTCTGATGAAGGTCATCATTAGCGGCCTCATACATTTTTCACAGTTTCAGCCCTTTTCTTTTACTGAGCAGGAGGTTTGAAGGCCATTTACGGCATTCAGCATGTTAAAATCCTACTCATGTGAATGCTGACTGTTTGATGACAATGTAATTAATGTATTCAGTGCTTATGTTTCAGCTTAATTATATTCAAAATATAATGGTTCACTTGCTAAATTCAGCATGAAAGCATCGGCCTAGCTGATATGTATGAAGTTTGACAGTTCTTATGCCCCTTTTTCTGTACCATCCTTCAAAGACCTGCATATCCCTCTTGCATGTTTTACTTTAATGAAGGTATGGATGTATCGTGCCAGCATTTGAAGGTGGTCCACGTTGTGATGCATTACGTAGGCCACCAGGTCCATTACTACACACATTCTTCATGAATGGCGCACCCTTTAATCCTCAAAAGACGGTTGATGGGTCAAGGTCAAAGGTTGATCATGTACAACACCATTTAGAGCATTATAGTGTGTTTATATTTATTTCATCTAGCTGTGGAGACACGTTAGGCGGTCACACCAGGGGTTTGCAATTCCCCTGTAAATGTCACACTGACCAGATTAATGTAGCACCATCAAGACCTCCATTAATCACGTCCGAGCCCCAGCTATACCTCCACCTGTTCGCCGTACCATCCCCTACATAGATGAACCTGCATGATGGATCTTAATGACCCTTAATGGTGTTGTGTAAGGGTGAGTTTTACAGCCCCCTTTTATGATTATCTCTTTTATTATAGTTTTCGTTTCATTAGCATATTGGGTTATTTATGTCTGAGGGGAACCCGTAGTAGTCTGCCAGCTTCGTGGATTCAAGGTATCTGGGTCTTCCGCACACAGCGCAGTTTGCTAATGAGGATTTTTGCTGTGATTGAGGCTCAACTGCTTGACAAGGTCTAAGAACCTGATACGTGAGGAGCATTAAGCTCCACGCAGACCATATTGCAGGCTTGATCTTCTTCATTAACATGAAATCAAACATCGTGGCTATTTATTCCTTCTGAACAGGAACCCCAAAGTTACCATAAAATTAAAACCAATCCTTTTTACTTAATAATCATCACTGGTCTAGCTCTTACCTGAAAATGAAAATATTTTACTCACCCTTGAGTTATGTATGGCTTTTGTTTTTCCGTGGAACACAAAATGAAATAATTGAATAACTGTTTGGGTAAAGTCAATGTGATTATAGCTTAATTAATCATAACTTGAACACTTAATAAAACACCCAAAAGTGTCAGCCAAAACGTGTTATAATGGTTTTTGTTAGAAAGTCGTTTTAAAGGAATAGTTCACCCAAAAATTAAAATGTTGTCGTCATTTACTCACCCTCATGTCATTCTAAACCTGTATGTTTCTTTCATGTGTTGAACACAAAAGAAGATATGTTGAAGAATTTTGAAAAACCAAACTGTTGTTGGTCCCCATTGACTTCCATAATAGCGAGGGAAATACTAAGGAAGTCAGTGGGGACAATCAACTGTTCGATTACCTGCATTCTTCAAAATATCTTTTATGTTCAACATAAGAAAGAAATTCATACGGGTTTGGAACGACAAACAGGTTGGGTAAACTCTCGTTTTAACAGAGAAATCCTTGTACAATCAGTAGGTGCACTCCAGTCCAGTCCACTTCTGGAGACGAAAGAAAGTCGTACATCCGGGATCCTCAAATCTGGCCCACGAGATCCACTTTCCTGCAGAGTTTAGCTCTAACCCTAATCAAACACACCTGAGCATGCTAATCAATGTCTTCAGGATCATTAGACAATCACAGGTAGTTGAGTTTGATCATGGTTGGAGCTAAACTCTGCAGCGCGTTGGCCCTCCAGGTCAAGATTTGAGGAACCCTGTCGTACATGCTTGTGATGACATGAGGGTGAGTAAATGTGTAAATGACCAATTTTCATTTTTGGGTGAACAAATACATTACAACCAACAGGTATTGGCATGTGTTTTAGGAGGGGAGTAGTTCTTTATCTTTACTGCAGATTATTAGTATGTTACACACCCTTTTTAACCATTTAGTCGATTTCCGAAGGCTAAAATTAAGGTCCATGCTAGTTTTCTTTCCACTGAATATCCTGCCACAACCCAGTAAAATAAGCTGTGAAAGCTGTTTTAAGTTGATTTTAAAATTCACCATTAAAAATAGTTGTTTTCAAGAATTATGTGTGGTTTCAAGAAAAAAAAGGTGATTGGAACTCTTGGACATATTAAGTTATATAAAACTTTTCCCACGTAACCTATCTGGGTGTTTTTCTTCTGCTGTGTGACTCTTAACTCAGAGCATCCAAAAATCAAAATCAGTATTAATCTCAACCCCCTACTTCAAATGTAATCAAGGAAACGTTTTCTCATGCTGCATCAATGAGACACTTCATCTGAGTTCACCTCTCTGTTTTTCAATCTCTTGCAACCCACCCTTGATCTTTCTTTACATGGTAAATGGTGAATTAATTAGATGCCAGGGAAAAGGGAGTGTAATGCCGTCGAATCAAAGTAAACAAATATGCCAGGGTGAATTCGGCAGTATTTATTCAGTCACTGTGCAGCACTGTGTCTGTTGATAGGGGAAAGGAAATTACACTTGGGAGGGAACCAGACTTGGGATATGCATCATTAAAGCTCGCTAATGTGATTGTTTGCTGTTAATCAGTTTAGGGGTCACTTTTGGAGGCTGAAATGTTTCTTTCACAGGCTATACATCAGGTTGAGGAAAAACAGTCTGGTAATTCTGTAAGGAAGACAACCAGCAGGAATGAAAGCCGTGGGGAATCATTTTTGTTGCCTTTGCTTTAATAGCCAAACACTTGCGGTGTCCTTGGAAAAAGGGGAAATGTGATTTCCCCTGGGGCTCTTGTGGTGTTCCTTGTCTACAGTCTGATCCCAAAAGGATGTCAAGCCCCACTGCAACTCTTATGACCCAAAACGCTACTTTTTTGACTTCTACATCCTACTAATTGGCTAAAGCTGAAGTTTCGCCTGGTCTGAAAGTCAGATCAAAAACGAGGTGCTTTAATATGTGCACCACAAGATAAAAAAAAATTTATATCAGAAAGATCAGGGCTCTGCATGGCGGCAGAGCATGAATCATCCATTTTAATTGATCCTTCAGTAAAACAGTTGTTTTTGTAGAAGCGTTGATGAATACAGTGGATATTTCAAGAGTATTCCCAGAGGACTTAACCAGGCAAGAGGTCACTGGTGGTATAAAGCCTCTCTCTTGGGGATGCTGAAAGATTAGAGAGTCTTGCTGTGTGGCTCAGATGGATGCATTCAATAAAAGAGGTGGCAGCTTTGTGGATAGCTGGAATCCTTGAAAGTTAGATGCTGCTCTTTTGGCATTCAGTATAGGATGCTCATGCAGGAAACTGGTCAAATCCCAACCGCAACTTGTCTTGATCCCATTCCTCTGTGCTTTCTTCATCATTATCTGTCATACTCTCTACTTTCAGTCCCAGTAAAATGGCATAAAACTCTTAATTTTAGCCTTTAGATTCATGTAAGGTTTTGTAGTTGAATTCTGCCATAAAGGACCCCTAGCCCTGCACATTTTGTATGTCTCCCTTATCTAACACACCTGATTCAACTCATCAACTCGTTAGTAGAGACTGCAAGATATTAATTGGGTGTGTCTGATAAGGGACACATACAAAATGTGCAGGGCTAGGGGTCCTCCAGGACAGTTTTGGGAACCACTGCACTAGAGAACAAGTGAAGGAGATACAGCTGCTCTTTTGCAACATGCTTTCTTTTCAAGAGCAGGAAAAGCTCAGGCAGCTGTCCAAGCCAGGACTCATCGCACTTTAGATAGGAATCCCTTTTCCACTGTCTGGGCATCGTGCCAGCTTGACAACATGGCTTGCTTTGGTCTTATCTTCCCTATTTAGGAGTTTTAGTTTCACCACCAGAACCAGTGGATCAGGAGTATAATGCAAGTCCTGTTTTCCCCAAGAGCTTTCGAGGATGTACATTGGCCCTTCATGTGTCAGAAGGCCTGGCTCACCCCCTTCATGCCCCTCAATGTCTCCTCGGTTTTGTTGTTCCTGTTAATGAGCCTTAATGGACTCATAAATCATTGCAACTGAAAGGCCACTTGCCTCGTTTTTCCCATACACCAGGAAAGTCAAACTTCCTGGAAGGTCACTGTCCTGCAGAGTTTACCTCCAACCCTAATCAAACACACCTGAACCAGTTAATCAAGATCTCCAGCATTACTAGAAACTTCCAGGCAGGTGTTTTGTCTTGCAGAGTGTAGCTCAAACCAGCTCCAGTGGCTCTTAAGGAGCGGACTTTGACACATGTGACGTACCCCATTCCAAATCAGAAATCCAAAATGGACACATTTCACTTCATTTTTCCCCCCTTTTGCTCCCTTCATGTCCCAGTGAACCTGCACTCCAATTACCAGCAAAACCTTTTACCTTACTGTCCCTGTCAGCACTTTCTATACATTTTTCTTTTTATGTCCATCTGTCACTTTCTGAAACTTCATTCCCTGTCATCCTGCACTTCTCCATTGAATTGAGCCGCATCGGGATGGGCTCCTGGGGCACCGTAGAGACTAATCAAAGAAGTAATGTGATGGATGCACCCCTGACGCTGACAGTTCCTATACCGAGAGCAGTCACTCACTCATGGGTTGTAGCCCGACCTCAGTGTCTAGGTGATGGACGCCAACCTTTACTACGGTTAAGCTCCTGTTCTTTAATGGCATTGTATCAATATTAGTGGTTTGTGGAGGTTTCTGAGAACATGTGGTCAGTCTTAGATTAAGAGACTCGCTCAAATTTCTATCAGATTTTTAAAAGGATCAATAGGAAACTTGAAGGTCAGTCTGGAGCAGAAAGATGAGGAGATTGAGTACAATATTCGTATGCATTGGCTTATATTAGAGGTCAATGTGGTAAGTTGGATAAAGGTAAACTAATATCATATTTAAACTTGGAACATTTAACATAGCAACCCATTTAAACCCAATTTTTACATGATGGTGTCCCCTGTAAACAATGCGATACTTAAGTTTCAAAGCAGTGGCATTGCCACACAAGCTGTTTGCTTTTCATTTCATAGTAGTTTCTTTCTTGTTACCCATTCAGACTCTCTTGTCTTCTCTTGTTTTTCGCAGCTCAAGAGCAGCATGCAGAACCTGAGCATCCATATAAGTCATGATGCCAATGAGTAAGTACCTCTCTCTGACTTTGACCCCTGTATTGACGTTGACCTCTGACCTCTCCCCACATTTCCCTGGCTTCTTGTTCATTGTATTATTTGCATGATTCATTTAGCATTTTGAATGATGTGTCTGTTCTCTTAATCTTTTCAAGAGATTTTGAACAATAATTCAGCTGCCAAATCTTGATGAAAATGCATTGTATTGAATCGTTTTTATTAATCCATTCAAATGGATTGTGATTCAGTAAAATCTAATAAATAACGTAATTGGTTCAAATAAAAAGCATTTGCCTTAATTGACAAATTAATTTTTTAATTTTTAATACAAATTTTTGTATTTTTTAGTTTGAATTATAAGTTTGAATCTTTTATTCATTTTATTTTATTTTTTTTTATTTAGTTTTTTTGTTTTCACTGTATCATAATTTTTTTAGTTTAGTTGTTACATTTCTCACCACAATCTGGTGTTGTTGCTGTCTAGTGGCATTTCATGTTTACTGCAGTCAGTTTTATACCATACCATGTATTAAAAAGGGATAGTTCACCCAAAAATGAAAATTCTGTCATTAATTACTCACCATGAGGGGGAGTAATTAATGACAGAATTTTCAATTTTGGGGTGAACTATCCCTTAAAAACTAAAACAAATTATTTTATTTCAGATAACGGAATTTATTTTTCATTTTTGTTTTTAGCACTTAACAATAACACTGTTTCCTTGTGGTCAAAAGCATTTTTTTGCATTGTGGCTTAATGTAGTGGCTTAATTTAGTTGTTTTTATTGCTGAACTGTATGGTGTTGTGACTTAACAACATTGTGCTTTGAACTTTTGTTTGCTTTAAAAATGTCATTGTGATGGGTGCTATGAGCCAACATAATGATACTGCAGAAAACAAGTATCTTTAAAAGTCTTTGCTATACTATTTTCATTCTTGTTTGGTTTATTATGTATAGTATCATTGCACCGTACTCCACAGAGCACATTAAACAATTAAATTGGAGTGCTTAAATAGCAAATTTGCAAGTAACAGGAACACCTAAAGGCAGCACCTGTGTCACGCAAGTGTTTGACACTATTCTGGGCCCGTCAATGGATGGCCAGAATTCATTATCATATACAGAAACCCCTGGAGGATATGAAAGAAGCAGAAAGTCCCTCCGATGAGAAGAGTGGCATTTTGTGTTGAAATGTCACTGCGGCACATCCTGCATGTCATTTACTGAATGGAGGGCTACCCGGAATGAACAATGAATTAACATCATTGCTGGTTTTATCGTCTGATGGGTACTTGCACTGGAGCCAAGTATGTTTGGCTTGTTTGAGTTAGAATTGTGTTGTTTCCAAATGTAACCGTTTTAAAGAGATAGTAGATTGTCTGTTCACCCTCATGACGTTTCAAACCTGAAAGACTTTCTTTTTTCTGTGGAGCACAAAAAATATATTTTGAAGAATGTGCTAGTTAATCTTTTCCATATAATTACAACGAAAGGGCACTGAAGTTTTCAAGCTTCTAAAAGGACACAAAAGCACCATAAAAGTGATCCATATCACCACAAGAGGTACAAGTATATTTTGAACTCTTATGCTGTGCTAAAAATACTTTGCTTAATTTAGTGTTCCGGGTCAAAAATGACCAGCCTTGTTTATTATACTTCATACCTTGCTACATTTGTGGTGTTCAATCTTTTTGTCAACTTTATTTATTATTATTTTATTTGATGCCTTCGACCAATTGGTTCCAAAAAGAAGTACAAAATCTGTGAGAACTGAAAGAAAACAAGTTGAAAAAAATATTGAATCCAAGATTTGGTGATAATATTGCATAACAAAGCAGTTTTTTGTAGGCTGGTCATTTTGGACTGGGAACACCACAAATGTAACAAGGTGGGAGAAAAATCCCAAGAAAGTACAAAAATTATTAAAAAAAATTTGGTGGGAAGTTTTCATACCCTGTGTGAGCAAAGTCACCAAGATTTAATCCAGTGTGATAACATTAACTAGCATTTTCAAGAAAAAAAAAAAATGTATCCTTTCTGGTCAAAACAACTGGAATACTACATGAGGGCTAAATCTTAATTTCTTCATTTGTGTTAAACAGAAGAACAAAGGTCATAATGGTTTTAAACAACATGAGGGGGAATATATGATGACCGAATTGTAATTTTTGCAAGAAATATCCCTTAAAGCCTCACTGGTAACTGTTTGTTTATGTGGCGGCAGTCTCTTTGCTTATTCGTCTCTATCTCTAAGATTTTCATGCATAAACAAATGCACCGTCATCCACCACTTTACCATATGTTCCCAAGGCAATCATCTTTTATTAAACAAACACTTCTGTGCTTCCCACCGAAACCCCAAATGTTCAATCCGTACGCAAGCATCTGCTGTTTTAATACCATCACCTCATTTCAATCCTTGCAGAGCTTTACCCAAGCTTGGCTAATACCACTTGGAGGAGACTCAGATGGGAGTTATCTTGCTGACCTTCCTCCAAAAGCTGCAAGGACATGATTTAAAAAACACTTATGACGGGCCTCACTTGTATTTCTCTATCTCTGCATGTCATAGACAACCATACAAGTACGGACTATCACAGGAATCGCATTAGCAGAAGCCGGGGTGCCGAAAAGGGATCTCCTGTTTCTCTAAGATGGCCAAAAACGTTCGCGGCTAGACTGACAGCCGCCACTGCGATTATACATTGCTCTCAGGCTTTGAGAAATGGCTTTGGGTGTCCATGCAGACCAAGCTGAAGGGCCGTTCTTCAGATATGTACTTCTGATGCCAATGTACCAGATGTCAGTTACTCTTCTAGGTGGTGAAAGAAATCTCAACCTTATCCAATAGAAGCACTCTAATTTCCCAGTGGACAGTTTCCAGGTGGGATGCAGCTGAAGAAGCTTGTTCGAGACCAGCTAAAAGAGAAGACCTGACTGGAGTTTCACACAGACCACGAACTGATTCAAAGATCCTTCATATGCTCTAATTAGAGGCTGAATAGACCTTCATTAATGAGGAGACTTGAATAAATGATGAAATTATGAGGGTGGCAGCAGCTTTCTTGTGGCCAGTGACCTAAAGCCCTCGCTGAATTCCCAGAAATGATCTCCAGCACAATGTCGCTCTGTGAAGCCTAAAGATTGTAGATGGGTAGTTCTTGATAGCTTCAGTACTTAGTTTGTATAAAATGTACATGACCATTCAACGGTTTAGTTAATTAGTTCGTTTTTTTTAAAAATAAGAATGTATGTTATGTGGTGTACTTTAAAGGGATAGTTCATCAAAAAAATGTTATTCTGTCATTATTACTCACCCTCATGTCGTTCCAAACCCGCAAGACCTTGGTTCATCTTCAGAACACAAATTAAGATATTTTGATGAAATCCGAGAGCTTTCTGACCCTGCATAGACATTAACAGAACTACCATGTTCAAGGCCTAGAAGGGTAGTAAGGACATCGTTAAAATAGTCCATGTGACATCAGTGGTTCAACTGTAATTTTATGATGCTGCGAAAATACTTTTTCAAAACACAAACATAGACTTTATTCAATGATTTCTTCTCTTCTGGGGCAGTCTTCTCTGTGCGCTCACGAAAGTACCACAACGCTCTCGTGAACGCTCGTCGTAGACTGGCACAGAAGAGAAGAAATTGTTGAATAAAGTCGTTATTTTTGTTTTCATTGCGCACAAAAAGTATTCTCGTAGCTTCATAACTACGGTTGAACCACTGATGTCACATGGACTATTTTAACGATGTCCTTACTACCTTTCTGGGCCTTAAACATGGTAGTAACCTTGCTGTCTATGCAGGGTCAGAGAGCTCTCGGATTTCATCAAAATATCTTAATTTGTGTTCTGAAGATGAACCAAGGTCTTGGAATGACATGAGCGTGAGTAACTAATGACAGAATTTTCATTTTGGGGTGAGCTATCCCTTTAACCCCACAGGCTAAGGAATGGGAATCACTTCATAAAACCCATGATGAAATTTGAGAGTATCTGACCTGAAGTATCACTATTTTTATTCTGAACTATTTTGCCTGCTATGGAGCAGTATAATGAAATATCTTCAGCCATAAGCAGCACACACATTATTCTTTACTCTTTACTGGTTCAGCAGGTGCTCTGTTCATTGTGTGTCTCTGTCATGAATGGTAATTAAGACTGACCTACCTGTTCTGTGATGTATGGCTCCTGGCGCTACAGGTGTATGTATTGCCCAGCGAGAAGATGGCGACGCCGGCCTTAATTACCCAAGTGTGCTTTGTACCAAGACTAAGCTTGTTCTTCTCGTGCCTTTTTTAGGAAACCAGACAGCATGAAGCAGAAAAACGCCTTCCCTCCTAATTTTATCCACTCTCTGGACTCCACTCACATGATGCTGACATCACTGCATTGTTACAGGTGATGAGCTGACTGTTTTTTACATCCCACACTCAAACGGGCTTTTAACACTGGGTAATGTGTTTAGACTTAACAACAAACCACCAATCGTATACTTAAGAGTTTATCTCATTGAATATTCAGAAGTTTTGTACAGTCACAATTTTTTATGCTCTGTATTTTGTTTCAAAATGACAATTGTAGTGTTAGCCAACATAACTAGAGAAATTAAGAGACTGTATTGTTTGTTTTTGCTTCTTCAGTCCATATTACATCTCATAAAAAGAATGGGAAACAGAAAACCAAGAGTTTGTTCATCCAGGATTAAGAATAGAGAGCGACCAATATTACCTTCTTATGACATATATGATACAAATTATATTTCGTTTTACACGTTTTTGTTCAATATGCAGATCTGATTTGAATGTTTTTAAAACTTTTTGTGACATAAAATGATTAGTAGACCAGGGCCCGTATTTACTAAACATTTTATGTTACCACTAAAATAACAGTAAAAGTTTTTCTCTTAAAACCTATTCACAAAGCTGCTGAGACAAACTTTTACTAAGGAATAGAGAGAAGTCAAAGGGCGGGGTTGACCTCGTTGCTATGGATGATGTCAGCATGCTTATTAACTATGCACACAGTGATTGGCTGATAGTCTCTGTCAGAGATTTATTCATGGAAATATTGTAGACCACAATGTTATGTTGCCATATTCAAATAAAGGTTTAAAAATAAAAAAATGTTAATTGCCACATTCAAATAAAGATTTTAAAATGCAGGTTAAGTGTCACTAATTAAACAAGTATATGTTCAGCTTATTGTCAGCCTCTTACATGTATGATTCTCAAAAACAGTTAGCGGATATGCATATAAACAGCCTTTTAATTAACAGAGTAGAATAATCATGGCTGATAGTAATGCATGCAAACGTTAAAAAAAAAAAAAAATTGCAGCTGTTACTTCTTGCCCAACTGGTTAATGAAAACAAGGATATAATCAAAGGAAAATTTGGAATTGGGGTAACCTCCAAAACCAAAGGCGATACCTTTTTAAAAGGTCATTATCAAATGTTTCTAAAATGTTTACATTCTGAGGCAGATTGCCGGCAACAGCCATTTTAGGAATAGTTTGTGGTTCGGTCTTAGTGATTTAGGAGTCCTCTTCACTACTCCTAACCTTTCACAGTTTTAGGAGCTAGTTTTAGCGCTAAAACTCTTTGTGAAATACTCTTAGAGTGGAAATTTAGGAGTCCTAAATTTAGGACTGACACGCCCATTTTTTAAAGAGATTTTCTTAATGAGCTACTTTTAGCCTTCAGATGTTTTGTGAATACGGGCCCAGAAATATATGTATAATGAATAATAATATAATATAATAATGTTATTATAATTTATGATAATATATAAATAATAATAATACATATAAACATTTTATTATTATTGATAATAACTATATTAATATTAGTAATACAAATGAAAATCATATTTTAATAAAAATATTTTATAATAAAATAAAAAATATTTGTAATGCATATTTAATAATAATACATCTTATAATATACATAAATTATATGAACAAGTCATTATTATTAATACCAACGATAATAGTATTAATATTGTATAATAGTAGGTTATTCATAATTCTTATATTTATTATTATTATTATTATTAATAATAATAATAATAATATATTAATCACACTTCAACAATAACACATTGGTTTTATTATTATTAATAATAATGCTATTTGTATTAATATTGATAACAATAAAGTGTTCCAGGTATTTAATAATTACTAATACATAAAAATAAACTAATACATTACTAATACATAAATAATTAATAATACATTTTATAATCTAAATATATTATATGAACAAAAATATTCATTATTTTTGTAGTTATTTGTTGTTGGGGTTTTTTTTATGTGGTATGTACATTTTTCTGTCTTTTTCAAACATACAGGGCTGGTCTGACGTTTGTGTCCGTCCATGACTGTTATTGGACCCATGCTGTGACGGTGGACATCATGAACAGGGTGTGTAAGGAACAGAGCATTCACTGACGAATATTTTTCAGTGCATATTCTTTCAACGGGAATGACTAAGCGGCCCAACCATGTCAGCTTAACGGCCAGATGTTTGCATGCTGAGTTCACCATATGTTCAATAACCAACCCTGTCAGGATGGGTTATTTTGGTATTGAATGGCCATACCGCTCATCCTCTCAACTGAAGCATTTTTTGGAAAGCTGCCATTAACTAGACTTATCTTCAAATACAAAAAAAAGCTTATTTACTTTAGCGTTTAATTTCATTTACCTCAGCTGATTCCTTTCAAAGATATGTTTTAGAACTAATTTTTCTCTTGATTTGATAAAAAAAAAAAAGGAATAATTCTCCCAAAAATGAAAGTTATGTCACCATTTACTCACCATCATGTTGTTTCACTGGCTTTACTTACTTGACAGTCACCTTCATTAGATAAGCTTAACCTCCATGTGACACTTGCGATGAACTTCTGAAGCTTAATAACTCCATCTATTCTCTCAAACCATATTCATCTGTCTGAATTGAGACTCTTTTTGGACTTTTATCTTTTCCCATCCTTCTCTCTTTCTGTGAGTGGTCTATTGTCTGCGAGTCTTTCCCTGACATGCTTTGTGACCACAGATTCCTCTTAAAATGGGAAAGTTCAAATAGAAGAGAGGTGAAACGTCTGAGGGAAAGGGGAAGCGAGAGGGAGATAGCATTGAAGTCGGCGCATTAGTGTGCATAATGATTGACTGAGTGCTCTTTGTCGCTCCTTAGATGTGTCGTGAGCAGTTTGTGGCTCTGCACAGTCAGCCCATTCTAGAGGAGCTGTCCAGGTTTCTTCTAAAGAAATATTGCAGCAGGCCACCGTAAGTCCCATTGCACATTTCCAGTTTTTAACGACTAAATGGTATTTAACTACTATAATTAGTAGTTAGATACTAAATTGCTAACTACTTGGGATGTACTTAAGGAAAAATGATGCACTCTAAAAACTGAAATAAATAGGTTGTAATTGTTTGTAAATATCAAATATTGAGGGATAAACAATTATTTTCATGTTAAGGCCGATAACCGATAAATGACTAATATTATGCTACTTTCTTTTTAAAAAAGAAAGAGAGAAAATTAACACTTAAAGGAAATAAAGAGGCCAATAAGGTCAATAAAAACTGATAAAAGACTGATATTATAAATCTGTGGTATTTTCATTTTAAAATACACTGAAATCTATTAAATAAATGGCTTGTATGCTGCAAGTAAACATGGAATAGGCAGAAACCATTAAATATCTAATATCACATGATACTGATACATTTAAAAAATAGTAATTAACCAGTTAAATGCTAACTAATGGAGTACTGATATTGAAAATATGGCATTGTACACCAATAATTACGGTATCTTTGTTTATGGCCAATAACCGATACATGGCCGATATTACAAATCTACGTATAATCCTTAAAGAAAATTCATAAACAGTGTGTATAAATACTTTGTGTTTAGAATTAAATATCAAATATTGGCAGATAAATTATAATTTCCACATTAAGGCAGATAACCGATAAATGCTTAGATACTAAAAGGGAATTTGTACTAGGCAGATACAATTAAATATCGACTGAAAAATATTCAGTATCCGGTCATACAGATACGTTTAAATATATATATTTAGCCACTTAAATGCCATCTACTAAATGAGTACTATGAGTACTGATATTGAAAATTTGGCCATATACCAATAATTATAGTATCTTCCTGTTTATGGCCAGTAACCGATAAATGGTCGATATTACAAATCTATAGTGCTTAAAGGAAATTCATACACACTTAAACAGTGTGTATAAATACTTTGTGTTAAGAATTCAATATCAAATATTGGCAGATAAATGGTAATTTCCATATTAAGGCAGATAACCGATAAATAATTTTGGAAACTAAAAGTGAATTTGTAAAAGGATGAAACCATGAAATATCCAATATCAGCCAATAAATATACACTATCAGGTGATACTAATAAATAAACAAATAGTTAGTATTTAACCACTAAACCGCTAACTACTAGAAAACTGATATTAATATTCAGCCAATACCAATAATTATAGTATCTTTCTGTTTATGGCCAGTAATCAATGGCCGACATTACAAATCTGTACTACCTAAAGAAAACTGATAACACACTAAAAATTTATAAATAATATGTATAAATAGTTTGTATTTAGAAATAAAGATCAGGTAAGACTGATAACTGATAAATTGCTAAAATTATAAATCTGTGCTACATTATTTTTTATTTTCTTTAATAAAAAATAAATACATAAACACTTAAACTAAGGCCAATAACTGATAAATGGTTGATATTATAAATCTATTCTGCTTTCATTAAAAAGGGACGAAAATGGTACATTAAAAGCTCAAATCAATTTTTTTTTATGCTACAAGTGAATTGAAAATCTCTGGAAATAATTAAATGTCCAATTTTGGCCAATGAATATTCAAAATCGGCCTATAGATAGACAGGAAATAGGAGCAAATAAATATTCAAAAACCACCAATATCATCTGATATGCTGCCTATATATTGTGCATCCCTACAAACAACAACCATTTTTTCAAATCATCATTTTTGAAAACGCGTAAAGTTGTCTTTTCATGTTTTCTCGGTTATCTAATGCTTTGTCATAATGTGGTTCAGTTCAATTGAGTCCAGTTTTCACTCTCACAGGGTTGTATCCAAGCCAAAGAAGTTTGAAGAGCACGTTAAGATGGCACAGCTTTTGGCCAGTGTTCCTCAAACAGGTGAGTTAAACCCTGAGCACTGCAGCCATCACTTTCGGACACACAGACGGGCGGCTCGACCTCATCCGATTGACAGCTTGTCAGGTTTAAGGCAGCCTTTTACCGTTGCATAACGTCGCACCATCTCGCAGAACCGCACATGTGATTTTATGTTCATCAGCGAGATAGATTTCATTAAACTGATGACAGTTAATTCTGTCAACTGGTTAATCTGTTTACGTAACACAGGCCGGAAGGAAATGCACTGGACAACATGGGCACATTTACAGCAGAATCACACACATCTGGCACATCAAATCGCTGATTCAGTGGAGACAATATTGAGGGGGCGCTTTTACAACATGTTTAATAGCTCAGCTTCAATGACGAGCAATAAGATGATTAATTCGCCGTTTAACAGTGATACACGCACTGATTTTATTTCTGTATTATTATTTCTATAGTCTTGATAAGCGTGCTACTGGAGTCACGCTCAGTATTCTTCCAGGACTCCTCCATATTTTCACTAATGAAATTGTCTGCCTGAGGAGTGTGTGTCCGTCCATGTGTGTCCCATAGGCCTGATTTCCTCTGCTCTGTTCTTCAGAACAAGGTGACATCTTGTGCACAAGCAAGCAGACCACCCACAATCGTTTGCACGTGTTTTATCTATATTAATACCTCCTGTAGGATTCGTTTCATGTTCTCAAGAACAAATTAAATTGATTAGAGTTGAATGGATTGAATAAATAGAGTGGCATGGTATTGTTTAATATGTCTGAAATGTTTAGTATTCATTGATTTGGGGTTCAACAATTCTTTCAAATTAATTGCAGTTGCTTATGTGCACAGCAGCACTTTTTTGGTGAATCTCATGAAAGCCTGTCAAAAAATGTCTGGGTCATATTTTGTTTTATTTTAAGAAAAGAAAATCAATTATTTTGCAAGGAAATGCATTTTGTTTTTTCTCCATTTTGGCAATTTCATGACAGCTATGTTTGAAAATAATTGTCAGTTTTCAACACTAATAATAAAAAAATGTTTCTTGTTCACCAAATCTGCAAAATGTCAGCTTTGCCATTACAGGAATAAATTACTTTAATTACCTTTAATTAAAAAAGGAAATAAATAAAACACTATAAACTATAAGGCCAATAACCAATAGATGGTTGATATTATAAAACTATTCTGCTTTTCTTAAAGGACAACTCGATTTGCTTCCAAACGAACTAGTGCTGTCAAACGATTAATCGCATCCAAAATAAAAGTTTTTGTTTACATGATATATGGGTGTGTACTGTGTATATTTATTATGTATAAATAAATACACACACATACAGCATATATTTAGAAAATATGTACATGTATTTACATGTATATATTTATATAATTTATACTATATTATAAATGTTTAATATGTAAATATATTTTTCTTAAATATATACATGCATGTGCATGTATTTATATAAACATAATAAATATACACAGTACACACATATATCATGTAAAAAAAACATTTATTTTTGATACGATTAATCGCGATTAATCATTTGACAGCACTAAAACGAACTGGTGCAGTTCGAATGAAATATGAATGCAACACAAACCAAATACTTCTAAACGAACCAAAAACAGGATGTAATGACAAGATGCGACGCTATGCAACATGATTTGACAATGCGGAATGAGTGTGTATCCAAAACAAAATTAAGTTAAGTTAAAAACGGTAAGTTTTGTCACGAAATATACATCATTCAACCCGTATGACTATGCCTTTAGGTTCGGTATCTTTAGGTTCTCTGTCAAAAATTCCTGTTTGAACAGTAAGCAGACCAGGACCAAATGTATCGGTTTCTTTTTTGGTCCAGACCAAATGAACCAAGAGAACCGGACTACAAGTGTGAACACACCCTAAAAGCTAAAATCAATATTTTGTATGCTACAAGTGAATTAAAAATCTCTGGAAATAATTAAATGTCCATTTTTGGCCAATGAATATTCAAAATCAGCATCTAGGGATGAACTGATGTTGAAATTCTGCCGATACCAATAATTATTTTGATGTTGTAGCTGCTCACTGAAATGCTAAACTATTAATACACAAATCTGCAAAACTTCATCTTTGCCATCACAGGAATAAATGACATTTCAAAATATATTAAAATAGAAAATGGTTGTTTTAAATAATGTAGTAATAATATTTTACAATATTGCTGTTTTGATGCATCTTTGATCAAATAAATGCAGCTTTGGGTCAGCATAAAAAACAATCAAATGTTAAAGTGTATTTGTAATTTATATATGTACATTTATGCTGACGTTGTTTGGTCACAGTATTTTTTCACTTAAATTTTACAGTAGTTTTGTTGTGCTTTTGGCAAAATGTAGTTCCATTTTTCAATTATATAAAAAGTATGCATTAAATTGATCAGAAATTGCAGTAAAGACATGTGTAATGCTGTTCTTTTGAACTTTTTATTCATCAAAGACTGAAATGTATCACGTTTTACACAAAAATAATAAGCAGTGCAACTGTTCTCAAAACTGAAGTAATGGCTGCTAAAAAAAAATCAGCTTTGCCATCCAAGAAATAAATTGCATTTCGAAATATATTAATATAGAAAACCGTTTTTTTTAAACTAAAATAATATTTCACAATATTACTGTTTTTACTGTGTTTTTGATCAAATAAATGCAGCCTTGGTGAGCATCAGAGACTTAATCTAAATAGACTTCATATCAAAGCTATATAATTACAAAATAAAATGTACTCCTGTATCTGGCTCTTGTGTATACTGATGGTTTAAATGACTAAATGAGTGCTAAAATCAACTGTTCTGTTTTCATTGTTACATATTCCACCCTAAAAGACCGTAATCATGTACTGTCTCTCTTGTAGGTGATTTCGACCTGGAAAAGGTGAAAGAATCAGTGTATTTCTTCAGCTGAGGAGTGTATCGTGAGCTGACGGACCGCTTTCATCAGGAAGCTGAGAGCCCTCCACAGACCTCATTAAAACAGATTGCTGCTTTTTACTACATCGAAAAGTGTGCGTGACTGGATTGGTTGATCTGGTAGAAAAGTGAGTGTGCGTGAGCGAGTTTGTGTGTGTGTGTGTGTGTCTGTCTGTCTTGTCATATTATCATAAAGACATCACTTAAGCACTGAAGCAGAGTTCTGGTGGAGGCGAACAGCAGGAGTCGCCCTTGTGTGCGGGTGCGAGAGCGTGGATCTCCTCTCGGTATGGAGTGAGAACACTCTCTCGGCGGGGCTCTGATCTGCTCCTTCACTCCTGAGTGCTAACACGGGGCTGATTAACCACATGATTCTGGCTCTCATCGATTTCAAGGCAGCCCCGTCTGAAAGGCCCTCTCTGACATTTCCACTTGGACATGATTTACTCCCAGCATCCCCCCACAGCTGGCGGCTCTCGCATTCACAGCCAGCAAAGAAACGCGAGGATATTTATGATAGTAGAGCACCTTTAAGAGTATTTTGGGAAAACTTTGGCTGACGTGTGACCTTGTGCCGTCCTGTTTTTTTTTTAAGGACTCGAGAGCACTTAAATGACTGTTTTATGATCAAAGACGTTTTGATCCGTTGGGTGCTTGTCGGAGAATGTACACATGGCATTCGGCGAGAAATAAAGTCGATATTTTTGCACTCTGGGTCTGTGAAAGGTTAATTGTTATTGAAGTTTCAAGACCCAATAGCTTGCTTCAGCAGCTTTCTTTCTGTTTTCTGGATTTTGAAAGCGTTTTACTACAAAGGGCAATGCGAAACAAAAGCAATCCAATGCAAGGCTACACTTGATTACACGAGAATTGACGTCAACAGACCTGCTCATTTCCTGACATCTCGAACAACCTGTGCGTGGGAAGTTGCCCTTACAATAATAATAGCTCATGGGCTTAAAGCTGTTTGCCGCCACATAATGTTTTAAGAGACTTGGCGGCCAATGTTTCCTCAATTTACAGGAGAAAGAAATTCAATTTTATTCAATTTCAGTCCAGTTTGCAGTGCAATCAGATAAACACGTTTTTGAACAGCACAGCCACCAGTGCAATGCGATTCACAAACAAGTGACTATTATGAAGTGAATCTTTTAAATAAAACACTCAGAAGAAACAATGATTCAAACAGAATCCTTAGCTTAATAAATGATTAAATCTGTCAAGTGTTACAGAATTATCTGATTTGCTGATTCATTGAACTGCCAGTCAATTCATGCACAAAATGGTTTGTGTACTTACCAGAGTTGAGTTTGCAGTGTGATTTAGATGAACATGTCTTTCTACAGCACAAGCCAGCAGGCACAGGACGTCAATATAACGTCAGTTATACGTTGGACAGATGTTGCATTTTGGTTGAGAATGAAAATCGGGTTGACGTCAGTATTTGACGCCAATTTGACATTGACTTAACGTTGGATTTTGGTTACACAACCTAAAAACAAGGAATATCAACGTCAGCTGAGGTTGGTATTGGACATCAAATTTACATTGACATTGAATTTTGGTCACCCGACGTCGCAACCGAAATTTAACCAAATATCAACGACATTGTGTGCCTGCTGGGAACCACCAGTGTAATGTGATCTATAATTCGCTCAAAAATATTCACAAACCCTGTTTGAACCATTTAAACTCTTAGCTGAATTTTGTTTTTTTTTTATTTAATCCTTAGCGGAATGAATCACTATCTGTCAGAGCAGTGATGAATCATCCTATTCTCTGATTCACTGAACCACAAATAATGTCTTGCTTTACTTGAAATGAAGCAAGAAATGTTGTGTACTTAACCGAGTTGATTTTGACTCTTTTGAACGGATTCATTTAATCACTCCAAAAGAACGCTCAGTTTAAATTTACTGCTAATCAGAGTCGAATTTGCATTGTAATTCAGATAAACGTCTTTCTAAAGCACAATTACCAGTGTGATATGATTCACACACAAGTGACTCGTATGAACTGATTCTATTGATGAATTACTCAAAACTGTTTGAATCATTTAAACAGAATCCTTAGCTGAATCCATCTGTACTGAATCATTTAAATCACTGAACTACAAGCCATTTCTTTCAGCCAAAGATTTTCGTCATTATCCAGATTTCACTGCAAAAGAATGAAGATTGCTCTCGAATCTAGTGATTGGATGAAACTCCACTTAATCATTCATAAGATGGCTCAAACTCTCTAGAAACTGTCTGAGAAGTCACTTAAAGCAATGACCAACAAGAGGAACGTCATTTTCTTAAAGGCGCGGCACTTTTATAATCATGTAAATCACTTTGCTAAACCATCGTTGTGGACTACTGCATATAAATTGATGAATGAATGCGTAATAGGATATTTGCATCAATTGGAAGAACCACATTTGGAGCCGTTTTAAAATGATCTATTTTTCTAATGAAGTAAACTTCATATTTCTGCTGCCACTTTTTTACGCTTGCTGCCATGCCCAACAGCATCCGACGATAAAATCAAAGCTTTTTGCTTTATTGGGTACCTGTAATAAGGGCTAAAATAGACTACTTTCCCTTGTAAGACACGCATGGATGGACACGAGATGAGCAGATATCTTTTAGCCCAATAAATGAAGTGGTCATCTCAGAAGTTATGACTAAAATAGAGATAAAAGCCAGCTGGGTTTAGATGCAGTCGTTTAGATTAATTCATTATTATTTCCCAGTTGATGTGGTTACTTCTTCTGCTCCTTATGTCCCAAACATTACTAATGGAACTGAAAGATGACTGCATGCCAGAAAAAAAAATGTAATGCACTTCAGAATTGTGGGTTTTGTTTTTTTCTTGGAATTTAAATATTTTTCTTATATTTATATATATCATATATATATATATATAAACATTTTACTTTTTTTAAAGTTTCTTTTTCTAGTTTCTTTTTTCTAATGCACGATACCTCTCCAAGAAAATATAAACATTTTCTGTGCGCTCAACAGTGGAGTGGATTGATTGAAGTTGTCACAGAGGTGCCTTCTGAGGGAAAGATGCCTCTCAAGGGTTCACCATGTCACATCTTTCAACATCTTGAGTAGACTGACCACACTGTCAACTCAGAGAAAGTTCAAGAGAGGAACTTACATACAGGAGCACTTGGCAAAAGTCTAAAGTTTTCTTTTATGATAGCTTGTCTGACAAACGCAAAATTGTGTTGAAACCTTAATAACTGTTAGCTTAGACATCAAACTACAAAAAGTATCACTACAAAAACACAACGGGTACTTTAGCAAACATTTTTTGAAATGAGATTTGCACATTTTTGTGGGAAGATTATAGCTGGTGATGAGAGATGATGCTGTGGTTTACTTCCATTTATGATCTTAAGCAAATATAATTGCATTTCAGATATGCTGGACCAAACATCAGACCCGATGTGAAGAAGTCAAGTAAGTTAAATTAAACGGTAAGTAAATTTGACCCTGGGCCCGTCATTATACACCTTTATTTCACGCAAAGCTGCAAAACAACCCCAGGCTCTTGTAACATCCTAATTAATGGAACACTGTTTAAGTAGCTTCATCACAAGCTGTTTTGAAAGTTTATTCAAACAAAACCGCAGAACCGCTGCTAAAAACATGGCTCTTTAATCAATATAGTCATGAAAAAATAAATGATGATAAATCAAATGTATGCAAAGTTGTAAAAGTTAACATGCCCTCCAGACAAGTTTCATAAAACATTTTTTTCCTCTACCATAATGCATAGTATAACTTAGTGGTACTTTGTGGAACATGTGTATTGTTAATGATAACTCCAACTGAGACAAATATTCTTTTCTCATGGACATATTGTAAACTTTATTGCTTGAAATATTACTTAGAATTTGGCAAAAAAAAGTAACACTTGGCATATATTGAATAAAATCAACATCTGTTTTTGGTGCAACATAAAACTGAGGATATCATTAAAAGCAGCTATAAGGTTGTTGTTTTTAATCAGCTTATGGGGCGGCACTGGTTTGTGCACAGCAAGGTCCACAGGGAATCATTTAAAACTGTTTTTACAAGGGAAAGACATTATGATTCTATTCAAAGTAATCAAAAATGAACTTTACACCCTGCATACGAACAGTCTGATGCTATTTTCAACCATCTGCCCATTTTGTTCTTTTTTAGAAGTCATAAATGATCAATTCACGCTTGGCTTTGTCTCCAGGATGCCAAGAACAAAT